AATGGTTGTCATTGAAAAACATGCGGTACGACTTCTCATGCAACTGTAGTGTCCAAAGTCGTATGACAAGTCGCACAAGTGTGAATGGAGCCTAAATCTATACTTGCAGTATTATGCCCAAGTGGAGATGTACCCTTTTTGCCTGTGAATTATATCTGTTACAAAGTGTCATTGCCCTCACCTTGTGATTGTGTCCCGCTGCGCCCTTCATCCTTCATCCTCATATCCGATATAACATCCAGACCTGATTTAGGTTTATGTGAAATCCCGGAAACTGCATGGGAAAAAAACAAAAGAAGATGAGGAAGACGCTTCTGATAAATGTCCATCTTCACCTTAGGGCTCCATGTACACTGCAGCTGATAAACTCACGTTCAGGAGATGTTCAGCGTTTTTTTCAAGCAGCCTCTGAACTCCCCCTAATGTTTTCCTATGTGTCCGTCGTCGTTTACAGTTTACAGGCAGTTGAGTTTACAGTCGTTTTTTTTTTAAAGCAGAAAACTTGCGTTCAGCAGTTGATTTTATCAGCGTTTCAAACGCAAAATGCTTGTAAACGTGGCAAAACGCTGCTAAATCACGTTTATAAGCGTTTGAACAATTTTTTTTAACTCTTCCAGTTCCTGATGCTGTCCAGAGCCTTTTTTCATCATGATGATCGGTGCCGATCCCCGCTCTGACAACTGTCGGTTCTCGGCAGTACTTTCCTCACGCTCTGACAGCGTGAGGAAAGTGCAGCCGAGAACCGGCAATTGCATTTCCCGGTGATCAGCGAGGCATTGGACATGGCTGATCATGTGGTAAAAGGCCGCTGTGATTGGCCTTTTACCATATCATGTGATCAGCTGTGTCCGTAGGACACAGCGATCACGGAGATCCCCGGGGGTGCGCAGGAGAGCGCGTTCTTATCATTTTCGGAAAGGTCTGTGGTTCCTTTTTGTGCTATAAGCTGCTAAACTGTAAGCGCTCGCTAAGTTATCTCTTTATCTCTTTATACCGTTCTGGGAGGACATCATATGACGCCCTCCCAGAACTGGCCGGCCGCAGCGTAGCCGTCATTTGGCTATCTGCGGTTGGCAAGTAGTTAACCAACAAATTTTTTTGTATAATTCTCCTTTAAGGGGGCGTGGCGGGGGGGTGTCCTCTGCCTATATACTTTTACTAATAGGGTGTCCCTCGTTACCGCCTCAAAAATTTGGGAGGTGTTTTCATGAACTTCCAGAAAGTTCACCAAAACCGCAGGACATAATAGAAGTCAATGGGAAAGCGCAGCTAACCAGCACCAAACCCATGGGCACGCTGCTCCGCACCCGCCGTGTGCTCACATCGCACTGCATCAGTGTGAAAGGGGCCCATGGCCTCCCTGTTTATAAATGAGATGACTGTTAGAGCTCCATATACAGCAAGCATCTAAAGCCTATGGCCAGCTTTACCGTTCTCCAGGTTCTTCTTGAGGTCCGAGGCCACTTGCTTCTCATTGATGCTTTCCAGAACAGCCAGAGTCATCTTCGGTCCATAAGAATCCGTGTAGTAGCTCAGGATCAGATCCACTACATCGCACCGGTCTGCCCACTCTAGCTGGCCTCTGCCGATGTGGCGGAAGCCCTCCTCTATTCTCCAGTCTGTTATTTTGTTCCGGAACCTCTTGAAGCTCCACTCAGTCAGATCATCCAAGGCCATGAGTAGGACATCTCGCACACTCCGCGCCATCCTCCCCTATGTGGTGCCCCAGAAGATGCCAACCTCAGTTCTGTCTCCAGCAGCTCGCATACTCTTCCTCTTTTCAAGGGAAATGAGTCTGCAACGTCCCAACTGAAAGTGAAAGTAATTTTCTTCTTTTTTTTCCTCCCGCCTTTATTTCCTTTCTTAAAAAAAAAAAAAAAAAAACACTTCCTGACTTCATTCAATGTGTCCTGTAGATGAGGCCTGTTTGTTTTCCAGAGCAGCTGCGAAGAATTCCTTCTACGTCTCTTCTGTCATGCAGTTATGGAGAACCTGTAATGGAACGTCACAGGCCGAGAGGACAGGGGCCCCTCCTCCCGCCCTCCACCTCCTGAAATATACCAGCAGTTCATTTCCTGGAGAACGTCTTCGCTTTCAGAGAAATGTACAGTTGTGTTCAAAATAATAGCAGTGTGTTGAAAAAATTGAATAAAGCTGAAAATCCTTCTAATAGCTTTTATTTCCATCCACACAAATGCATTGGGAACACTACACATTCTATTCCAAATCACAACATGAAGAAAAATACATCAAATTTGTGTTGTTCCTCTAAAAAAATGGAAGAAAAGTGAATATTAGACGGTTCAAAAAAATCGCAGTGTTTGTATTCTTCTTTACAAACTCAAACATTCACTATATATAAACTGAGAAATGTTTGAAGATTTTGCTTTCCTTTGAATGACTTCATGAATATTTGGTTGTAGTCGCACTGTTTCTGAGAACTGCTGTACATCTGTGTTGCATGGAGTCCCCCAACTTCTGGCCCCTGTGATCAGGTATTCCAGCCCAGGATGATTGGACCACATTCCACAGTTCTTCTCTATTTCTTGGTTTTGCCTCAGAAACGGCATTTTTGATGTCACCCCACAAGTTTTCTATTGGATGAAGATCCGGGGATTGGGCTGGCCACTCCATAACGTCCATCTTGTTGGTCTGGAACCAAGATGTTGTACGTTTACTGGTGTGTTTGGGGTCGTTGTCTTGTTGGAACACCCATTTCAAGGGCATTTCCTCTTCAGCATAAGGCAGCATGACCTCTTCAAGTATTCTGATGTATTCAAACTGATCCATGATCCCTGGTATGCGATAAATAGGCCCAACACCGTAGTATGAGAAACATCCCCATATCATGATGCTTGCACCACCATGCTTCACTGTCTTCACAGTGTACTGTGGCTTGAATTCAGTGTTTGGGGGTTGTCTGACAAACTGTCTCCGCCCACTAGACCCAAAAAGAACAATCTTACTTTCATCAGTCCACAAAATGTTGCGCCATTTCTCTTTAGGCCAGTCAATGTGCTCTTTGGCAGATTGTAACCTCTTCAGCACATGTCTTTTTTTCCAACAGTGGGACTTTGCGGGGACTTCTTGCAGATAGCTTGGCTTCACATCGGCGTCTTCTAATTGTAACAGTCCTCACAGGGAACGTCACACCTTCTTTCATCTTCCTGGAGCTGATTGGTGGCTGAGTCCGCGCCATTTTGGCTATTCTTCTATCCATTCCAATGGTAGTTTTTCGCTTTCTTCCACAACTTTCAGGTTTTGGTTGCCATTTTAAAGCATTTGTGATCATTTTAGCTGAGCAGCCGATCATTTTCTGCACTTCTTTATATGTTTTCCCCTCTCCAATCCACTTTTTAATCAAGGTACGCTGTTCTTCTGAACAATGTCTGGAACGACCCATTTTCCTCAGAATTTCAGAGAGAAATGCACTGTAACCAGCATGTCCAACATTTGCTGCCTTCCTTCCTTAAATAAGGGCAATAATTGCCACCTGTTTTTCAAAGAATGAATGACCTCACTAATAGAACTCCACACTGCTATTATTTTGAACACGCCCCTTTCAATGAGTGATTCAATGACACAGAATCAGCAGCATGCATGTCATGACTGTTTGGATTTCTATGACTCTACTACACCTGCTAGGAAATTATTTGCCATGTAGAAATATCATTTCCACCAAAAACAGTGATTGATCCGGTTAGTGATGTCTGACTGCTAGTATTTTGAACTCAAATGTATTTTTGTCTGCTGGGCTTTGCAGTCCTCCTTAACTTGTTTGTTCAGAACGATGTTCTCACCCCCCCCCCCCCCCGCGCGCTGTGAGGATTTTGCAGTTACGGCCTTGAATATGTGAGGGGGAGGGAAGAGATAACGGGCCTCAAGTTTCTTCATTTCTCCCATATTACAGCCAAGCACAATGTACCTTTTAGAATGTGACTATATTTACATAATAGTGACGTATACTCTATTGTTTTCTATGTATAAAAGGTTAAGCCCCGCCCTGCAATAAACAGAGATGAGGATGTGGTTATACTGCACAGTTGTCAAGTGTGATTATTAGAGATGAGCGAATCGAACTTGGCGACGTGGAATTCGTTTCGAAGATTAGGAAAAATTCGATTCGCGCCGAATCCGAAAATTAGCAAACTTCGGATGCACGAATCGAATTTTCCCAAAAATGGCGGCGACATGTGTGGCGACGGAGCGGGGATCTCTGGGAAGGCGCGCAGACAAGGCGCGCTGACTCATAATGCATTCATTCATGACATGTGATCGCATTAGCCAATCAGCAGCCAGCCAGCCAGCACTGTGTAATGGTGGAGCTATAAATTGCGGCCATCTTAGAATTCTCCATTAGCCTCCGGTCATTCAAGAGAGACAGACCTCTGTGTATTAGGGACAGAGTTAGGGCCACAGAGACTTTAGGGACACAGAATCGTTACTCAGGGACACAGAATTGTTACTCAGGGACACAGAATCGTTCAAGAGAGACAGACCTCTGTGTATTAGGGACCGAGTTAGGGCCAAAGAGACTTTAGGGCCACAGAATCGTTACTCAGGGACACAGAATTGTTACTGAGGGACACAGAATCGTTACTGAGGGACACAGAATCGTTACTGAGGGACACAGAATCGTTACTGAGGGACACAGAATCGTTACTGAGGGACACAGAATCGTTACTCAGGGACAGACACAGAATCGTTACTCAGGGACACAGAATCGTTACTCAGGGACACAGAATCGTTACTCAGGGACACAGAATCGTTACTCAGGGACACAGAATCGTTGAATTAAAGAGTATGTCAGACAACACGCAGAGGAGTGGCAGAGGAGGCAATGTTTCAGGAGCGAGCAGACGTGGCAGCAGAGGAAGGGGTCGAGGCAGCACTAGTCGCAGCCAGAGGCCAGTGCTCCCGGTGTCATCCAGCGGTCGTGTCTCCACCGACAACCCCTGCCGTCATCGATTGGTTGGCTCGGGTCGTCTTCCTCTTCCCAGGTCACCTCTGACACCTACAGCCAACGGTCGGTGGGTACGTCAGACACAACCGTTAGTTGGCATGGCCCGGGAGCAAGCCCACTGAAATCACATGTCCTCTACCTGCCCCTGTCCTTTGGTGTTCCCTCACCAAGCGAAGTATCGCATGCTGTGGGCTCAGCCCCACTGTACAGTGAGGAAGAGCTAACAGAGGGCGGTCAGGAACGGGGGGAGACATCCGCCTCTTCAGCAGCCAGGCGAAGAAGTACTGGCGAGGGAGAGTGGCTCGGTAGCCGGTCTAGAGACAGGTCTGTCTCCTGACCCACATGCAGCCGAGGGGGCTAGTAGTGAGGCAGAGACCCTAATTGATGATGATGAGGCTGATCACACTTGGCAGCCTCGTCGTCATCAGGCTATTGCTTCCGCATCATCAGGAGAAGAGCTTGCCAGCTTGGCAGCGAGCAAAACAGTCGGTGGGTTGCCCAGGAGGCAGCAGGGTCGCAGCAGTGTCAGTGGAGCCAAACGGCCACGGAGTAGAGCACCAGCTCCACTGCAGCCTACCACCACGGCCAGTAGTGGTGCCGGTGAGGAAGTAGCAGTCAGCCAGTGAGGAGTAGCGGGGGCAAAGTTTCCTACTCGGCGGTGTGGCAATTTTTCGTCAAGCCGCGCCCGAGGAAGTAAACGTAGCCGTATGTCGACTATGTGGCCAGAAAGTCAAGCGTGGCCAGGGGGCCCATGTTGGGACTACAGCGTTGCGTCAGCATATGCAGCGTCGCCATTCGGTGGCCTGGGAAAACCGTGATAAAGATACGGCGGTTCTGCCTGCCCCAGCCCCCGTTTCATCACCCGCTCCGTTACTTGCTCCGTCACCCGACGTCAATCGCCCTCTATCAGCCAGTCAAGGCTCCAACACCTCTGCTGAGGGGAGTTGTCGCTCGTTGGCATCTTCCGCTCGTTCAGATGCTCCTTCTCCTGCTACTCCTCTTCACGGATTCCGTCAGCAGTCTTTCTTGGAATCCGTTTCCAAGAGACAACAGTTTGCGAGCACGCACCCGACGGTGCAAAAGCTGAACGTCCTCCTGTCCAAGTTGCTGGTGTTGCAGTCCCTCCCTTTCCAAGTGGTGGACTCAGCACCTTTCCGAGAAATGATGGCTTGTGCCGAGCCGCGGTGGAGAGTGCCAAGCCGGCATTTCTTCGCCAAAAAGGCAGTGCCAGCCCTGCATTCACATGTAGAAGAGATGGTGGGCCAGTCTTTGAGCATGTCGGTCTCTGCCAAAGTGCACGGCAGCGCCGACGTGTGGAGCTGTAACTACGGTCAGGGACAGTACATGTCATTTACGGCCCACTGGGTGAACGTGGTGCCGGCACAGCCGCACCAGCAACTTGGACAGGTCACGCCGCTTTTGCCTCCACGTTTGCACGTCCTTGGTCCAGCAAAGATGTCCGCCTCTACCACCTCTTCTTCCGCCGTGTCCTCAGCCGCCACCCCCGTGCCAAGTCCCATTACCCGACCGGCATATCACATGTGCAGGGCGCAACGGTGTCACGCTGTGCTGCACCTGGTATGCCTTGGCGAACGTAGTCACACAGGGGAGGAACTTCTGAGTGTAATGAACAGAGAAATCGACAGATGGCTGTCTCCGCGCAAACTGAAAATCGGAACCATGTTGACCGACAACGGAAAGAACATGGTGTCTGCTCTGCGTCAAGGAAGGTTGTGCCATGCGCCATGCATGGCTCACGTGTTCAATCTGGTTGTCAAGCGGTTCCTAAAATCCACCATCCCACTGCAAGACATCCTTAAAATGTCACGTAAACTTTGCATGCATTTCAGCCATTCCTACACCGCAAAGCACACCCTCCTTTGAGCTGCAGCGGCAGAGAACGGAATTCCACAGCATCGCCTGATCTGCGACGTTGCAACAAGGTGGAATTCAACCCTACATATGTTAGACCGCCTTTACGAACAGCGAAAGGCCATCACCGATTTCCTGATGTTACAAGCGGATAAAGGTACTCCCCTGTGTAACTTAGATGTCAGCCATTGGCAGCTCATGCGTGACACCTGCCGCTTGCTCAGGCCCTTTGAGGAGCCACGCTATTCGTGAGTCGGCAGGACTATGGGATGAACGACGTCATTCCTCTGTTGCACGTCCTGGAACAAATGCTGTTAACAATGGCTGGTCAGGGTGCGGTAGACGTGGAGCACAGATCTCAACGCCACATGACCCCTGTGGGGGCAGGACAGGAAGAAGAGGAGGAGGTAGAGGAGGACATTGGTGCTCAGGAATTATTGAGTGAAATGGGTGGTTTTTCCACTCAGCGGACAGGAGTGGAGGAGCAGGAGCATCTGGTAGAGGAGGAGGAGGAGGAGACAGAGGACCCAGACGCACCGTGGCAGTATGCTGTGGAGATGGAGGCAGGGAGTCCCTCGCATTCCTTGGCACAAATGGCCCATAGCATGCTCGGTTGCTTGCGTAGCGACAGCCGAATAATAACCATCAGACAGAGGGATGACTTTTGGCTGTCCACCTTGTTGGACCCTCGCTACCGTTCAAAAATGGTGGCCTTTTTCACACCTGCTGAGAGGGAGGCCAAAATAACGTACTATAAAAACCACCTATGTAGTCAGTTGGTCTCTGCCTTTCTGCGCCAACGTCCATCCTCAGACACTGTGGGCCCTGTGCGCTCGCGTTCCGCTGCCATGGCAGCAGGGGAGGGGTGGGGTGGTAGGAGCAGTGGCAGCTCCACCAGCAGCGGCTGCCTCAGTCTGCAGTCGATGATGAGTAGCTTTCTTCACCAGCGCAGTGAGGAAACTACTAACCAGCCGCAGCAGCATCAGGTGGACCTGGAGCAGGACCTCAAACAACAGGCTTGGGCCTACTTGGACAGCACCCTGCCAACCGAGGTAGACAATCCCCTTGACTACTGGGCAACAAAACTTGACCTTTGGCCCCAACTAGCTGAATTTGCCCTTGAAAGGCTGTCATGCCCGGCCAGTAGCGTGGCATCGGAGCGCGTGTTTAGTGCGGCAGGAGGTATTGTAACTCCGCGGAGGACACGACTGTCCACCCAAAGTGTGGAGAGACTCACGTTTGTGAAAATGAATCAGGCGTGGATTAGTCTGGATTTCAAACCACCAGTTCCTGACACAACTGACTAAATCTGCCATGAATCATGCCCCAAACATGTTATTATTTTTAACATAGCCCTCTGTATGACCTTCAATTTAAGCTGCTTACGCTTCGCCACTCTGCCATGGGCCCCTGTACCGCCTCCTCTTGCTGCTGCCAGGTCCAGAGTGTGTCATGGGTCCCTGTACAGCCTCCCATTGCTGCTGTCTCCATCGCCACACTCTGCCATGTGCCACTTTCAGATCTCCTCACACTGCTGGTGGGTTCCATTTTGTCATAGGGTGCTGGCAGATTACGGGCCTCCCATTTGCTGCTGCCAGGCCCGTAATCTGCCATGGGCCCCCGTACCGACTCCTCATGCTGCTGCCAGGCCCGTAATCTGTCATGGGCCCCTGTACCGCCTCCTCATGCTGCTGCCAGGTCCAGAGTGTGTCATGGGTCCCTGTACGGCCTCCCATTGCTGCTGTCTCCATCGCCACACTCTGCCATGTGCCACTTTCAGGTCTCCTCACACTGCTGGTGGGTTCCATTTTTTCATAGGGTGCTGTACGGCCTCCCATTGCTGCTGCCTCCACCGCCACACTGTGGCTCCACACTCTGGTTTTGGCCCCGTGACTGCCCAAATGAGTGAAGTGTGCGGTGATTCTAAGATCGACGGCACTCATCTGCATGTCATACTGACTGACAGTATTATTTCTCTTCCCCAGCAGACTCCAAGGGCATTTAAATTAAAGGTACAGTGTTCTGCACTAATATAAAGGCTCTCTGAAGCCTAGAAACACCCTTTTTATATGTTAAATTCGCAGCGAATATATTCGACTCGAATCGAATTTATTCCGCGAATTCGCCGAATCAGCCGAATCGAATTTTTGAATACTTCGCTCATCTCTAGTGATTATTGTCCGGCGTGCACGTGCAATTCATTTCTCTAAAAATTAGGAACAGCAGCAGAAATCCTACCCTGAGCCCGATCGTGGTTCTCACGACCATTTTAACATGAAAGGAAGGTTCATAATAGAACTTAGATGACAAAATCTTCAGTTTTACTCAAATTAGTTGATGCAAAAAATTAACACACCCCCCACAACAAAGGCTACTCCATCTAGTATTTTTGTATGACCTCCATGATTCGTAAGGACGGCACCAAGACATCCCCCAGTGACACCAATATAGTGATCGGTGCTAATAAAAAGCACTGACGCTGTACTAATGGCACTTGGCAGAAAGGGGTTAACATGAGGGGCAATCAAAGGGTTAACTGTGTACTGTTTTACATGTTGGGTGTGTGTTCTACACTGTGCGCACACTGCTATGCAGATTCACTGTGGCACACCACTTTTTTTTCCAAGGCACACATTCACTCATCTATCATTGTCAAACGGCCTTATAACATTATAATTATTTTAAATGACATAATAAAAGTTGGAACAGAGATTTCTGACAAAGCAATACATTCTGGAGAAATACGTTTTTTTTTTTTTTTTTTCGTCTTGTACAGCATTAGCAGATTATGCAGAGTCTTACAGAGTACAAACCATGACAGTCCCTGTCTCCAGATGGAGCTCCTAGTCTTACAGTAGATGCCTATGGTCCCAACACACCCCAAGGATGACTTAGGAAGGAAGGCAATTATTCGATCAAACTTGGCTTTGCGGGAGAAATCATCAGAATTCTGGGGAGAACATACAAACCTTTTGGAGTCCCTCCTCCATGGCAGGCAGCAGCATACCTTAGTAGCAGCTGGTTAGGTTTGGTTTTGGGGTTCACAGTAGGCAGAAAGTATCTCAGCGTACATTCAAACCCCGAGATACAAAGCACATTTGCTAACCACATAGCCACATGTAGGCAGGTACAGTCTGCTTTCCCCACTGCAAGTGGCGCTTAACCTCAGCGGCATTGCAGAGGGAGAGGTAGTAAAAAGGAACATGGCTCCTCTATGGATTTTTTTTGGGGGGGGTCACTGGGTCAGCCATCCAATTGTATGCCGACAGCCCATGTAACTCTGGCAGCCATCTTGGGCCAGACAGAGTCTATTTAGGACCTTGGCTAATGGGCATGGTGCGTATTTCTCCTGTGTGTAGTGTAGGGACTGGTCACCCGTCTGTCAGGGACAGCGAGTAGTGGTAGGGAGATGTTCCAGACAAGCAAGGAGCAGATAGGGACACACCATCCTTCTTGGAGGCCTCCCCGCTTGGAAACAGACCGGCGAGGATTCATTACACCACTCAAGATAGATGCTATCATCATATCCGAGACCTACTCTGTTGCACACCACTGTTGCATCCTGTGAGTGTTCCCGTTTGGGTTGTCTTCCTGCCAGGCTTGTTGTGAATGAGTGAACTGTAACTGATACAAGTTCTGTTTCCCGCAACTGGATTCTGAATGTCTCCTACTGCCGCACCATGCAGCACCTCCTCACACACCATGTTTCTTGGAGTCTTCATGGCATGGGAAGGGACCCATGATGGTTTTGGCCTTTCACAGAAGGGTGGCATCCATGTCCTTTGTATTAACTCATTAGACATCAAGATAAGGTCTGTTTAGTGGGTAGTTTAGGGACTGTCCACCTGTCTGTCAGGGACAGTGAGTAGTGGTAGGGAGATGTTCCAGACGAGTAAGGAGCAGATAGGGACACACCATCCTTCTTGGAAGCCTCCTCGCTTAGAGATGCTGTGGTTTTTTTTTTTGGGGTCACCAGGGTAGCCATCTAATTGTATGCTGGCAGCCCATGTGACTCTGGTAGCCATCTTGGGCCAGGCAGAGTCTATTTAAGACCTTGGCTAGTGAGCATGCTGCGCATATTCACATGTAGGTAGTGTAGGGACTGGTCACCGTCTGTCAGGGACAGCAAGTAGTGGTAGGGAGATGTTCCAGATGAGCAAGGAGCAGATAGGGACACACCATCCTTGAAAGCCTCCCTACTTGGAAGCCAATTCATTACACCACTCAAGATAGATGCTATCGTCACATCCGAGACCTACTCTGTTGCACAGCACTGTTGCATCCTGTGAGTGTTCCCGTTTGGGTTGTCTTCCCGCCAGGCGTCTTGTGAATTACCGAACTGTAACTGATACAAGTTCTGTTTCCTGCAACTGGACTCCGAATATCTCCTACTGCCGCACCATGCAGCACCTCCTCACACACCCATGTTTCTTGGAGTCTTCATGGCATGGGAAGGAACCCATGAAGGTTTGGGTCTTTCACAGGAAGGTGGCATCAATGTCCTTTGTATTAACTCATTAGACATCAAGATAAGGTCTGTTAAAAAAAAAAAAAAACAAGGGTATAAAATAACAATACATACTATAAAACAAGGTGTTACTCTTATACACCATAAACCTTTACAATCAAAATGGAGACACTTTAATTGCCTTTTAAGATGTGCTAAAAGTCCAACCATGATTTCATTCATTTGGTGATAAATCTGAATCTCATCTCCTACAGTATGTTTAAGTTCACCCTGAATGGGTACATTTTTGGTGCATTTCAAATCGCCAAACATTGGCACCTACCCACAATGCCCTGTGCACTCCTTCACCCTGACCTGTAGACCCACAACAGACAATAATAACCCAGCTACTTAGTTTTATAATGCAGGCTAGGAGAAGACACAGCAGGGCTGGATCTAGCCTGTCTGATTTGGGGGTGCAGTAAAAATTGCAAGGGGGCAGAAGATGCAAGGTTAGCAGGGCAGTATATAAGAGTCAGTAGAGCAGTGTACAGGGGGGGGGGGGGGTCGGCAGTTTGTAGGGCAGTCTACAGGGCTTAGCATGGAAGAGGACAGGGATCAACAGGAAAGAAGATAGGGGTCAGCAGTGCAGAGGACAGGGGTTAGCAGGGCAGGGTACAGGAGTCAGCATGGTGGAAGACAGCGGTCAGCAGAGTTGAGGAGCAGGGCACTTAAAATGGAGCTCCACCCAAAAGGGGAAGTTCTGCTTTAAGCCTGTGTCCCCCCCGCTTCCCATTAAGAATTGGCACATTTGGGGAGTGGGGGGGTACCCGAATTTGACAGGTACCACTCCCACTTCCTAGACGATCGGAAACAAAGTTGTCCTCCCCCCTCCCTCCCTGTAGTCTTGTGGGACATGTGACAGGTCCCAGAAGACTACGGAACCATTCACAAAGCGTAGCGCTTCACGCACATGCGCAGTGGGCACCCGGCTGTGAAGCTGCCAGCTGTCACAGTCAGGTGCCCACACTGAAGATGCTGACACCGGGGAGAAAAGACGGCTGGTGAGGACACCGTGTGATCAATGGACAGGTAAGTGGCTGTATTTTTAAAAGTCAGCAGCTACAGTTTTTGTAGCTGATGACTTTTTTTTTCAGGTGGAACTCTACTTTAAGAGATCTCCTCCTCCTCCCCACACAGCACATGGCTGAGATCGGTATCCCTCCACACAGTGTGTAGCCGGCTACTGCAGCTGCCAATCCAATCAGGGAATTTCACAGGTCAGAACTGCAACTGCAGCCGGCTACACATTGTGCAGATCGATGCTGTGGGGAGATCTGATCTCAGCTCTGTGTTGGGAGGAGATCTGTTGAGTGCCGTGTGTGCAGTGCAGACAGTGCCAGGACAAGGTCATCTAGCATTTACGGTAATGGTGAAAAACTGCGCTCCCCCCCCAAAAAAAAACCCAGCACTAATCAACAAGCTCACCCCCTAAGCATGAATTCCTTCTGCAAGCCCAAATTCTACGCAAACAAAAATGCAAAAATTCCCCATCCTCACAGTCCAAACCCCCCTTTCAGCTCAAATACCCCCAATCCCTAACAAATCTTCCATGCCCCAAAAATCACCCCGCATAGCACACATCCTCTTTCTTTCCAAATACCCCCTCCTAGTACAAACCAGGGGCGGACTGACAACTCACGGGGCCCCCGGGCAATAGGAGACCCCTGTGTCCTTGCCCACACTCAAACCACACCCAAAAAAAAGCCTATGAAAAAGGTACCAGGGGCATCTCATGGGGCCCCCTACAGACCCCCGGCCCTCGGGCAGTGCCAGAGTTCTTGAATGGTCAGTCCGCCCCTGGTACAAATCATCTCCCCCAAATCCCCCTCCTAGTACTCATTCGCCCATCACTCTCAGCTTAAATCATTTACCAAATTTCTCCTTCTAGTACAAATCCCCCCCTCCTAGCACAAATCCTCTCCCTAAATCCCCACTCTTAGTGTAAATCCTCTCCCCAAATCACCCCTCCTAGTACAAATTTTCTCCCCAAATCACCCCTCCTAGTACAAATTCCCCCCACTCCTAGTACAAACCCTCTCCCCCAAATCCCTACTCCTAGCATAAATCCTCTCCTCAAATCTCCCCTCCTAGTACAAATATTCCCTCTAAATCCCCATCCTAGCACAAATCCTCCCCCCATTATAAATCCTCCCACCCAAATCCTCCCTTCTAATACAATCCCCCCCAAATCCCTCCTCCTAGTACAAATTCCTCCTTCTAGCACAATCACCTACAAATGACCCTTCCCAGCACAAATCCCTGCATAGCCAAATTACCCTAGTAGCACATATCACCCCCAGTTCCCCCCCACCTAACACTAATCCCTGATAACTTTTCCCCTTCTAGCACAAATCCACCCCCCTGCCAAATCCTCCCCCTAGCACAATTTCCCCCCCCCCCCCCCATTCCCTCCTCCTAGCACAATCCTCCCCCCATTCCCCACGCCTAGCGTAAATCCTCTCCTCAAATCTCCCCTCCTAGTACAAATACTCCCCCCTAAATCCTCCCCTCCCAGCACAAATCCTACCCCCAGTACAAATCCTACCCCCAAATCCCACCTAGCAAAAATATCCCCCCCTTCTAGTACAAATCCCCCCCATTCTCTCTCCTAGTACAAATCTCCCCTACTAGTACATATTCCCCCCATCCCCCCTTCTAGTACAACCCTCCCCAAAAAAAAAAACCTCATCCTAGCCCAACTGCCTACAAATTGCCCTTCCTGGCACAAATCACTGCATACCCAAATCACCCTAGTATCACATATCACCCCCAATTACCCCCACCTAACACTAATCCCCCCTCCCAATCCCCCATTCTCCCCTCCTAGCACAAATCTTCCCCAGTCCTACCTCCTAACACATCTCCCCCCAATTACCTTTCCCAGCACAAATAGCCCCCCACCACTCCTCCACGAGCTTCCCTTCCCCCGTCTTACATGTGGGAACAACAGGAGTAATGGAGTAGTGAGGAGATGCGGGCTCTCTGTGATCTCCCCCTCCTGCCATAACAGCGATCCTCCATAAAGCAGGTCACATATGATATTCACCTCTGTCTAGTGGCCATAATATACATACAGGATTTTCCTGAAACTAAATCTATTAGGCAAAATATGACCAGAACACATGAGGGCTGAGTGGCTGCCAGTGACACATGTCCAACACATACATAGAGAAGACACTATAACCATACAGGCTAGGGTGAGAAGGGATTAGTGCAATCAAAAAGGTCCCACTCCAGAGAAATGACTGTACAGTGCTAGCCTCCTTAAGGGCTGCTGAGTTTTTGGGTCCCCCTAAGCTCTGCATGGCCAGGCAACATTCATTTTCCACATTTTTCTCTCAGAGTCAGTAAAACAGTCCTTGAGCTTGTTTTGTTGTTGTTTTTGGATGGGGTCTAGGGGTATATGAGATGCCCAAGGAACTGTACAACTTGAAGGCGACTTCTTAACAAAACACTGTACACTCTACAAAAATGTGGACCAAAAATTAGCAACGGTCTCTTTAAGGAGCACTGATGTCCCCTTTGGTGTACCTCCTCAGACCCCAGATGAATCCCTCCTCTTTTCCCAGCTGTTCTGAGAGTATTCCTGGGAAAGGGATTCCAAGATCTGCAGTTAAGTAGTCCTGCATGAGAACTAGTTGGGTATTGCACCTGACCGCCCTCTCCCTTATCTGGCCCAGGGGGTGTAGAAGTATTTACATTGTCCTGTCAACTTGGAGAGTGGCAGCTGCTTTCTGGCCATACGCTGGAGTAGCTACTTGTTGGCTGACAGGTTGTCCTCCCTAGGAGACGGTGGGACCAGAGGCGGACTGACCGTTTGGAAACTCGGGCACTGCCCGAGGGCCCGGGGTCAGTAAGGGGCCCCATGAGATGCCCCTGGTACCTTTTTCATAGGCTTTTTTGAGTTTGGGCAAGGGCACAGGGGCCCCATGATCCCCTATTGCCCAGGGGCCCCATGAGTTGTCAGTCCGCCCCTGGGTGGGACAGTGGACATTCTTCCATCCAGCACCAGTCTGTAGGTAGGCTTCCCACACTCTAGCACCTTCCTTCAGTCTATCTTCCACCTGACTTCCCTGCTGCTCAGGTTCTTCCACATTTAAGGGCTGTTAGCCACCATGCCTGGCCTCCTGCCTAAGAATTTGGCCAAGTTCCCTTAAACATGCAAATCTAGGTCTCCTCCCCTCCTCCGCCCCTCCTGTTTCTAGAAAGGTGGGAGGGCTCCAGAAGCCCTGACCTGTTGAGCCTCCCAGCCTGTACTGAGGTAACCTCACTACCTCACTCCCAGGCTGACTCATCCCAGGCTGCTACTCAGCCTCTCTAGCCAAAAATCGACTAACTAATCTAGAAGGCGTTACAATAGTTTCATCAATTACTTACTAACCTTAAGTTCTTTGCAAGCTGGTTCTCATGAATTCTGCCCAGCACAAGATAAGTAACATACAGAGCTTTTTTTTCTGTGTAGCGTCTAATCAGACATTCTGACACTTCAACGATGGTCTTGTTGTTCAGGTCTGAAGTGGTCAGTGCCTTGTATTGGTGAATGTTAAGAAATTCATCATCCATCAGGCATGCTTTAAATTCTTCAAATTTATTTGGCTTCATCTCTTTACATGTGTTTAGAAGACATTCCCTTCGAGTGAGTCGGTTGCAATCAACTTTTGCCTGTAAGGAGTGTGTACAGAAAGGTGAGGGCTCATCAACACAACACTCTGGTTCAGTAATACGCACATTACACATGTTTGTGTGATCTGGTGCCATTCATGCGACATGGACCTGTAATGCAGCTTCTCTGCTCCACCAGTACTCTTTCTGCTGCCTCCGTTCTCTGTTCCCTGCATGCTATACTCTGCCCTGTTCCACCAATTTACCTGTTCTGTAACAGGAGCACTTTAGTTATATATAAGAAAAAATATACAGACAAAAAGGTAAATAAAGAGGTTGTAACTGGGTAAGACCCCATTCACACTTGTCATGCAACTTTGGACATCAAAGTCACACCCCCATGTTTTCCAATGATAACCATTTATATACACCGTATTGCCAAAAGTATTGGGCCGCCTGCCTTTACATGTACAGGATCTTTAATGTCCTGCCAGTCTTAGTCCATAGGGTTCAATATTGAGTTGGCCCCGCCCTTTCCACGCACATGACCTTTAATGGCCCCCCAGTCTTAGTCCGTAGGGTTCAATATTGAGTTGGCCCCGCCCTTTCCACACACATGAACTTTAATGGCCTCCCAGTCTTAGTCCGTAGGGTTCAATATTGAGTTGGCCCCGCCCTTTGCAGCTATAACAGCTTCAACTCTTCTGGGAAGGCCGTCCACAAGGTTTAGGAGGGTGTCTATGGGAAGGTTGGACCATTCTTGCAGAAGCACATTTGTCAGGTCAGGCACTGATGTCGGGGGAGGAGGCCTGGCTCGCAGTCTCCGCTCTAATTCATCCCAAAGGTGTTCTATGGGGTTGAGGTCAGGACTCTGTGCAGGCCAGTCAAGTTCCTCCACCCCAAACTGGCTCCTCCATGTCTTTATGGACCTTGCTTTGTGCACTGGTGGGCAGTCATGTTGGAACAGGAAGGGGCCGTCCCCAAACTCCTCCCACAAAGTTGGGAGCATGAAATTGTCCAAAAATGCTGACGCCTTAAGAGTTCCCTTCACTGGAACTAGGGGGCCAAGCCCAACCCCTGAAAAACAACCCCACACCATAATCCCCGCTCCACCAAACTTTACACTTGGCAAAATGCAGTCAGGCAAGAACCGTTCTCCTGGCAACTGCCAAATGCAGAAACTTCCATCGGATTGCCAGACAGAGAAGTGTGATTGCCCACTCCAGAGAACATGTCTCCACTGCTCTAGAGTTCAGTGGTGGCTTGCTTTACACCATGGCATCCGACGCTTTGCATTGCACTTGGTGATATAAATCTTGGATGCAACTGCTCGGCCATATAAACCCATTCCATGAAGCTCTCTACACACTGTTGTTGGGCTCATCTGAAGGCCACACCAAGTTTGGAGGTCTTTAGCGGTCTTTTAGTGGCCTTCCACTAAGTGGCTGAGTTGCTGTTGTTCCCAGTTGCTTCCAATTTGTTATAATCCCACTAACAGTTGAGCGTGGAATATTTAGTAGCCAGGAAATGTCACGGATGGACTTATTGCACAGGTGGCAACCTATCACGGTACCACGCTTGGAGTCACTGAGCTCCTGAGAGCGACCCATTCTTTCACATATTTTTGTAGAAGCAGTCTGCATGATTTTATACACCTGTGGTCATGGAGGGGATTGGAACACCTGAATTACATGATTTGGAGGGGTGGCCCAATACTTTTGGCAATATACTGTAGTGTGTGTGTGACTTAAAGTGGCAGCAACTTCAGTTGTAATTCATGCACTACTTTAGTCTGACTTTTATGCAACTTGAGGGCCATAGACTTCAATGTTAACCCTCAAAAGCTGCATGAAAGTTTGTACCTGAAAGTTTTACATGCAACAGTATGTAACAGTGGTTCTGACTTTGCAGAGGGACAACAAGTAACATCCAAGCTGCACCCATCCAAAGTTGCGTGAAAGTTGCACTCCAAGGTTGTACGACTTTGGAAATGCACAAGTGTGAATGGAGCCGAAACGTAATGTTAGAAACAGAAATTGTACAGTAGATACTCCTGGTACTTGGAATGCAAGATGATGACTGGATCGGGCTTCTGTAAAGTACATCATTTGAACAGCATCCGCATACTGGACCTGGATACAGTTGTACCCCCTCATTGGCTGACTGGGTCACATGCCTGGGTGATGACTAGGTAGCAGTGCTTAGTGCTGTGCATTACATCCTCCCCAGACCATCCAATTCTCTGCCCTCACCCTGTGCATTCCCTCGCTCCCATTTACTTCCCCATCCGCACTTGCTGCACAAACTGTCTAGAAATGTCTGCATCTGGGACTGGAAAGAAGAGAAGATTTATGGATGCAATTTACATTAGCTGCTAAGCAGAACAAGACACTTTTCAAAAGATTTTCACTCCAGGAGTTTACATTATATGAGAGTTAGGGCCATGAATAAGAAGATACCACCAGTCCTCCTGTAGGGGGCCCAGACCAGGAGGAGGACCCAGGCAGCTGGGTGAATCGGATATGGGCAGGGAGGGGGATCGGCACGGCTGGGGCGGCAATTTCTGGATCGGATCCCCTGTATGGCTCTCTTTGCAGCAGCTGAAAGTGGGCTTCTTCTCCTCTCCCTCCCACTGACTTTCAGCTGCTGCAGAGCGCCATGCTGGGAATTGGTTCCAGTAATTGCTCTCCCCCCCCCCGCCGCACCTATCACCCCATCACCCTCCCTGTGGACCATACATTTCCCCCTGCTGCCCAAGCCCCCCTGTGTGCCCACCGTGCTGCCGACTTCCCTCCTCTCCTTCTCACTGGCAGCTGCAAACGCACAATAGGATCCTTCAGGATGGAGAGTAGGGGAAGGGTCCAGCAAATATGTCACGTTTATCAGCCCCTTCCTTCCCTAAATGAACACAGTTAATGGTCGGTACCTATCACTCACTGTGTTCATTCATTCCTGTAGCATAGTAAACTGATTTTTTTCGTAGGGAAGCTCTGTCAGGTTGGCCATATGGGGACCTGTGGTTTCTAACAGCAGCCCTGATGGAAGGGGTGTGTGATTGACCTTGAACCTGTTGCTAAGGAATGTAAAGACATAAAAAACAAATGAGAAGACCCATTCATCGTATGGAGGGCTTTTATGGCATTTCTCAAGGGGTAGTTGCTTCCAGTGTAATATTTGCCAGTCTACAGACTCATAATATGAACTGATTGCAGGGAAAGACGCCCTAGTCAGAGTTACCCCACGTTCTTACACAACCATATCATATTGTCACAACCATACAAAATCTAATTTGGTCCTGGGAAATTTTCCCCACGTCAGTTATATACGGTTTTTGGACCAGTGATCTATTCAGGAGGTCTACAATGGGATCAGCCAGCCTCACCTTGTTTAGCGGTCTCTGATGTTCAACCACAGAATCCATCTGACCTGTAAAAAATGCAAAACAAACTGAATTACAACCATTGTTATAAAGCACTATTAGTCCATACAGTATATGGGGGTCTTGTCAACAAAATCCAATATCATCTCCCCTGTGCATACTGGTATAGCTCATGCAGATAAAGACTCCAAGATCAGCTATACACAGTAATGCCTGTGACAATCCCAGGATCGCTGCCACTAATATGTGACGATCCCACGATCACTGCCACCAAAATGTGACGAACGTGGCGTCAGACCCCAGCCCTTCTCACCAAACTCTTGAGCAAAGGACTAGCCAATCTAAAACCGCGATATCACGTGCGTAACAATGCCACACCCAGCAGCACCCTGCACAACGATTTTCCAGCTAATTGGACCACAATCTATGTAGCGGCAGCCTGAGCGATTGTTACTGGGTCAGGTTAATTACACAATTAACCCTTCACACTGCCACCACTTCCTTTTTGTACAGAGAAAGAGGAAACTCTGCGATATCAGCTATAACACTATATAATGGTTGAGATAATGTCTGTATAACACGGTCACCACAGGCCGGTTATACAGAGGGTTAAAAAATACAGTAGTGTTCTCTTTAGAGGCAGGAATTCGTAAATTGCAATAAAGAGTTATAGAAACAGTTCAACACTTTGAGAAGGAAAGATTTATTACTAAAAGGTCAAAGGGGTGCAATAAAAATATTTACAGAAAAAAAAGATGTACCCGATATATAAATATACAGAGAGCAACAGCACAGCAAAGAGATAACAGAAAGAAGTTAGAGGGTTAAAGTACTTGCCAAAGTCCTGGGTTAGCAGATCAAGTTCAGAGCGAAAGGGCGGTCTCCCAAGTTGGTTTGATGTTCTGATTCTTCAAAACTTAGGCCTGAGAATTTTGTAGTTCCCCAGCAGGGAGTGTCTCTGGAGTCAAGGACCAATACCCCGTTTAGGGCGGGAAGGTCTGGGCGTAGACCTAAACTAGAGCCAAAATCTCTTCTAGTTCATATTTTGGCTCATAACTTTTCCTATGCACAAGTGACACTCCACCCGCGGGTAGATTATTACGCAGACACGTCGGATTGATTAGATATGAAATATGAAATTCTACACTGAATGGTTCACGAGATCTACTTTTCTGCTTTCCTATGTATTCCAGCCAAGGAGAGTGACCTATCAAACTATTCGTCTTCTCTTGGCCAATCTGACGATATGCCTGTTTTTTTATGTAAGTCTCTCATATTCCAAGATATGAGACATAGGGGAAAAATGGATTTTAAAAGTGTTTATATGGTTCTTGCTTTCTTGGAATGCCTTGAACTCCTGAGAAGGCTTGCGTTCTCTTTTACGAGGTGTGATATTGCACAGCTCTCTCAGACAACCAGGCACCTCGGGGCTTCCTGCTGGGCTCTGGCCTGCCTGCCACACTTCCAACACACATATGTCCCTGTGGATTACAGAGGGAAGGGGGACAATGAGGGACAACATGGAGATTTCTTAACAAAATGGAGGACTGTGTCAGTCTGTGGTGTGTACGATTGCGACAATGCCAGGAACTGTGCAGCTCTCCCTTCGAATATCAACATGGGCTGAAATAAATGAAGGGAAGTGCACAACCTGGCGCAATAAAAACCTTTTATTTGGCTACCAAATGCATTTTATGCTGTGTGTTATGTTGGCCAATTAAAAGGTTTTGTTGTGCTTCCCTTGTTTTTTCACATGTTGGTCTCAGAGAGCATCCTGTGCCCTGTTGAGGGTCTTGTTGTTTTTGAAGTTGGGGTGGTCAACAAAAACTCTCCTGCCTGGTGACCATAGTTGTTTAGCTCCCATATTGGTAGATCCTCTGTAGCATTATACTGGAATAATAGACAGATGAGTTATTACTAGACACCGGGGACTGCTGACCAATTTTGGAAAAGGTAGGAGGCTGCTTACATAAAAGGATGGTGGGCAGACAGAGACGGTAATTGTTATAGTATAGTAACCCGCTTCCCACCACTGAAGAAGAAAAGTATAATTGACATACACACACTGTCCACTTTATTAGGTCCACCTGTTCAATTACTTGGTAACACAAATTGCTAATCAGCCAATCACATGGCAGCAACTCAAAGCATTTAGGGATCTAGATGTGATGAAGACGACTTGCTGAAGTTCAATCCAAGCATCAGAATGTGGAAGAAAGGAGATTTAAGTGACTTTGAATGTGGCATGGTTGCTGGTGCCAGATGAGTTGGTCTGAGTATTTCAAAAACTGCTGATCTACTGGGATTTTCACGCACAACCATCTCTAGGGTTTACAGAGAAAGGTCTGAAAAAGATAAAATATCCAGTGAGTGGCAGTTGTGTGGAGGAAAATGTCCTGTTGATGTCGAAGCTCAGAGGAGAATGGGCAGACTGGTTCAAGATGAAAAAAAAGCAATAGTAACTCAAATAACCACTTGTTACAACCAAGGTATGCAGAATACCATCTCTGAATGCACAACACATCCAACCTTGAAGCAGATGGGCTACAGCAGCAGAAGACCACACCAGGTGCCACTCCTGTCAGCTAAGAACAAGAAACGGAGGCTACAATTTGCAGAGACTCACCAAAAATTGGAAGAAGATTGGGAAAACATTGCCTGATCTGATGAGTCGCAATTTCTGCTGCAACTTTCACATGATAGGGTCAGAATTTGGTGCAAACAACATGAAAGCATGGATCCATCCTGCCTTCTATCAACGGTTCAGGCTGGTGGTGGTGGTGTCATGGTGTGGTGGATCCATCCTGCCTTGTATCAACGGTTCAGGCTGGTGGTGTCATGGTGTGGGGGATCCATCCTGCCTTGTATCAATGGTTCAGGCTGGTGGTGGGGTCATGGTGTGGTGGATCCATCCTGCCTGGTATCAACGGTTCAGGCTGGTGATGGTGGGGTCATGGTGTGGTGGATCCATCCTGCCTTGTATCAATGGTTCAGGCTGGTGGTGTCATGGTGTGGTGGATCCATCCTGGCTTGTATCAATGGTTCAGGCTGATGGTGTCATGGTGTGGTGGATCCATCCTGCCTTGTATCCATGGTTCAGGCTGGTGGTGGTGGTGTCATGGTGTGGGTTATCCATCCTGCCTTGTATCAACGGTTCAGACTGGTGGTGGTGGTGTCATGGTGTGGTGGATCCATCCTGCCTCGTATCAACGGTTCATGGATGTGCAGCCAACAAATCTCCAACAACTGCATGTTGCTATCATGTCCATATGGAGCAAAATCTCTGAGGAACGTTTCTGTAACGGAACCGGAACCCAGACCGCACTGAGTTTTTCCGTTATACTGCAGCTTCCCCTGTCCGAACACCATCCACGGACCACGCCCTGGAAATCCCTCAGGAAAATAGACAACACCCAGCTCTTACTAAAACAGGAAGCCAACAACTCTTTATTTTTCACAAACAACATGTTTTATACAGAGGGCGGGGAAACACATCCAGGAACAGGACATATATCATCAGCCCACCCTCTCAGTGGGAAGGGCTACAGTATAGGCAGGAAACACCTCATCACCCCTCCCCATCCAACCAGACACAGAACAATGGGATGCAACCATGTGGCAAAGGACATTGACCAACCCCCACACCAATACACAAACAGTACATCCCATAATAGTTGGCTGGACAGGAAGACACAGCACCATGGGGGGGAGCACATGGCAGGGACAAAGGAACACACACTATACACAATACTGGGACATTCACATTCACACCCTGTACCCCTTAACAGGCACAGGGTGGGTTAAACATAATGGGGGGGATATGAGCTGACCAAGCGGTTCCCCCACCCCCAAAAGTCACTCCCGTCACATATCTCCCCTTTCGGCAGGAGAGTAACACAGGAGTAGATCCCAGGGGATGTACTCTGAAGTTACTCTGCACCTCCAGTCCCTCAATGCCAGCACCCGCACAGTACCCCCATGCAGATTGTCCCACACCAAGCGTTACTCACCCAGCCAACCTCTGCCTCTCCCGTAGAACATACCCGCCGCTGGGGAGAAGTACGGACTAGTCCTTCTCCCGGGAATCCACTCAGCCGCTGGGGAGAAGACAGGGTGGCTGGGCCGCCTTCATCCTTCTGTGGGGGATCTGGGCCGATGCCCAGCATCCCTGGGGTATCCAGGTGGTGGCTGTAGTTGCTAGGCCGGGGCCAGCGGCGCTCTGCCCTGTTGCCAGAACTTCTGCTGGGGACCCCACATCTGCTCCGGCTAACTGTAGGGGAGGGAGGCCGGCTTCCTCCCCTCCCAGACTGTGGATCTGCTGCTGGGATGGCATTCCTCTGTCACTGTCCCCCTGCTGCACAGATCCTGGCTTGGGAGGGAAAACAGTTTCCTCCACTCTGGCTGACTGTGGGGAAGAGAGGACAACAACCTCCTCTCCATTGACCAACCCCCACACCAATACACAAACAGTACATCCCATAATAGTTGGCTGGACAGGAAGACACAGCACCATGGGGGGGAGCACATGGCAGGGACAAAGGAACACACACTATACACAATACTGGGACATTCACATTCACACCCTGTACCCCTTAACAGGCACAGGGTGGGTTAAACATAATGGGGGGGACATGAGCTGACCAAGCGGTTCCCCCACCCCAAAAGTCACTCCCGTCACAGTTTCCAACACCTTATTGAAACTATGCCACGAAGGATGAAGGCAGTTCTGAAGGCAAAAGGGGGTCCAACCCGTAGTACTAGCAAGGTGGACCTAATAAAGTGGCCGGTGAGTGTATATTAGTATTTAACATGATTTAGTGTAATAAATAAATTGTATTAAAGGCATCCCCATCGCTATACTAAAGTTTTTTAAACCAAGACTCACCTGTAAAACATAACAGAGGATATTTATCTTTCCTGCTGCCCACTGATTCTGGGTATTCCTGAGTACTCCAGATTTCTGTTGTACACGTCACTGCACCATGCTGGAACAACTTTTTCTGAGATTCTGTGTATTCTGTAGTGATGAACTTTGGATTTGGACCAAACCCATGTTCAGCCCAAATTTTACATATTCAGAGTTTGGCCAAACATTCAGGAACTTTAAGGGTCAATGAAATTGACAAAATATGGCCGTACCCACCTTCCCAGCTACTTTGTTTACAATTTAGTTGATATCTGGGATCTGTCATTCAGTGCAAATCATTCATTGCGACGAGGGTCTACATTGGCTGATGATGCAATTGACCACGGATGTACATTGTGGAACTTTTTCTTTGCTTTCGAAAAGATTTGTCAAAGCGTATGGTGTGTTTGTTTTCTGGAATTTTCTTTTGTGATTGAATAGGGATGATAGGGATGCTAGGTTTGCCCCCCACCCCCCAACACTCATTTCTGCCCAGCCAAGCTGCATGCTCATGTTATGGGTCTTTTATGGATTTTTAGGGGGACCTCATGCATTTGTGTTTTGTTTTTGCATTAAATTCTGATTGGGCGGAACCATCTCTCATGTAAACCATCTTGGGAGGTAACTTAAGTCTCAATTTTGTTTGTTTAAATGCACAAATCTTTAGAAATACAATATAGAATATATATAAAATATATATGAATATAGAATGTATAATAATAATATTAATAATAGAACATACCTCCCTGATGTGGAAATACCAACATTTGAGTCTGCAGGTCATTCATGTCTCCTAGAAAATAAAATTCCTGCAGTTTATATATATTCTTTGGAGAGAAAAAATACATACACATTTTATTGTTATATTATATGTATTAGTTGCCTGTGGAAAGGGTAAGCCCGCTTTAAAAAAAAAAAATAAATTTAAAAAAAGAGTCAACTTTACTGCCAAGTATTAAAAATTGCAGAATCGGCTTGTCAGTCTTCTGTGTAAGCAATCTGGTAAATGTACCAGCACTATCAGTTGCATTATTAAAAATAGAATACATAAGTTTTGGGGGGGGGGGGAAATCGGAGTTCCACCCAAAAGGGGAAGTTCCGCTTTAAGCCTTTGTCCCCCACTCCCCATTAATGATTGGCACCTTTGGGGAGCTGGGGGGGGGGGGGGGGGGGTACCCGAATTTGACAGGTACCTGCTCCCACTTCCGTTGAAATCGCCTAGGCAATTGGAAGTAAAAGTTTGTCCTCCCTCTCTCCCCGTAGTCTACTGGGACACATGACAGGTCCCAGAGGGCCATTCACAAAGTGCAGCGCTTCTCGCACATGCGTAGTGGACACCCAGGTGGGAAGCCGCAAGCTGTCACAGCCGGGTGCCCACACTGAAGATGCCGGCGCCGGGGGAGAGAAGACGGCCGGTGAAACCAGCCATGGTGAGGACACCGCTGGACCAAGAGACAGGTAAGTGTCTGTATTTTAAAAGTCAGCAGCTACAGTTTTTGTACCTGCTGACATTTTTTTTTTCAGGTGGAACTCCGCTTTAAGTACTGGTCCCTTGCTCTCCATGTGAAATTGGCACCTTTGTGGAGCGGGTATCCTATTTTGGCAGGCACCCGCTCCCACGTCCGCTGTGCCAGCCTAGGCCAGGGGTAGGCAACCTGCGGCTCTCTAGCTGTTGTGGAACTACATTTCCCATGAGGCATTGCAACATTACAAAACTGACAGTTACAGCTATGACTTGCAGAGCCATGATGGAACTTGTAGTCCTGCAACAGCTGGAGAGCCACAGGTTGCCTACCCCTGGCCTAGGCAATCTGAAGCAGGTGTTGTCCTCTCCCCCTCGCCATAGTCTTCTGGGACACATGGCGGGTCCCTGAAGACTACAGCACCATTCACACTTAGGATGCTGGCCGGGGAGCGAGGACAGCCAGTGAAACGGGCTGAAGTGAGTATACCGCTTGAATGTGGGACAGGAGAGTGGTTGTTTTTTCAAAATCAGCAGCTGCAGGTTTTTTGAATGTTTTTCCAGCAGAAAAAAATGCTAAACACTCCTTAAATGTTCCTAAAATGCTAGAATATAGTAGTGCCACTGCTGAACTTATGGCCATTTCCAAACAAAAACTCCACCCACTCAATATCCTTCTTTTTCCGCACAAGCACGTTCAACATATGGAGTCTAACCCTTCCCTGCTTTATCTAAAACTTGCCTTTACAAACTTCTCATGGTTGGATTTATAAGGGTGCAGGATGTACAAGAGTAGTGCTGAATTACAAAGGGGCAGAGATAAGTACCAGCCTATGGGTGACAGTGGATCAAAAAATGTATTGACTTGATCTTGAAAGAAAATTACAAATAAGATTACCTAAATTGGTTTACAAAAGATGGAAAAAAAAATGAATCAACTCAAAGAAACGAAAAATATACATTTATGACTCTATAGAGAAAAGACTGTAATAAAGTGGTTGTAAAGGTTGAAGGTTTTTCACCTACATGTATTCTATGCATGAAAGTAAAAAACCTGTGTGCAGCAGCTCCCCCAGCCCCTTCAATACTTACCTGAGCCCCATCCCGATCCAGTGATGTGAATGACAGCCTCGGCTGTCCCGGGTCTCTGACTCCTCATTGGCTGTAACAGCAAGCAGGAGCCATTGATTGCTGTCAATCACAGCCAGTCAGCCAATGAGGAGATAGAGGGGGCAGGGCTGAGCCATGGCTCTGTGTGGGAATGGAAACACAGAGCAGGCGGTGCCCCCATAGCAAGCTGCTTGCTGTGGGGACACCAGGCATGCAGGAGGAGCCAGGAGAGCCTGCGGGGGACCCAAGAAGAGGAGGATCCGGGCTGCTCTGTGCAAAACCACTGCATACAGTAGGTAAGTATGACATGCTTGTTATTTTACAAAAAAAAATAACCTTTAGAGTCACTTTAATGTAACGTACCAGGGGCGGACTGACAACTCATGGGGCCCCCAGGCAATAGGGGATCATGGGGCCCCTGTGTCCTTGCCCAAACTCAAAAAAGCCTATGAAAAAAAGGTACCAGGGGCCTCTCATGGGGCCCCCTACTGACCCGGGCCCTCGGGCAGTGCCAGAGTTTCCAAATTGTCAGTCCGCCCCTGTAACTTACCCAATAACAACCTAAAGTACATAACCCATAGACATCAGGGTCACATTACAGTTTTGTCTCTTCTTTCAGCTGTCAGTTTGTAACAATTGTTGGTGTAACCTACATATATGTAATGTACAGTAGTGATGGTGGTCTCCATCCAGTGACTGAGGTGCACACTACTTCGTGCAATGTTATCCCAGTAGAGCGCATGCACGAGAAACCTCCAGAAACCTGCAAGGTGGGGCCCCAAATCTTTGACTGCCTAGGGGCCTCTGAACAGAGTCAGCATTTCTGCCTACTGTCAAACCACTCACCCAGCAGTGTGACCTGTCTGAGGGAGTAACGTCTCATAATTCAGGTTTTTGGGATCTATATTAGGTATTCTATCCAAAATTTGCCTTTACCACGGGGAGTCATATCTTACCTCTGTCCACCTCTGCTTGCCACACTGAACTGCCACCATCTTCTATGGATATTGTAAAGCGGTCATTGATTTCCTTGCCATCTACAGTGATCTCTGTATAGGGGTACAGCCTTGATACGTAGCTACACTGGAACTGCAATGTCTGCAAAATAGAGAGCCAAAAACTATTTAGTGCAAAGCAGAGCCTTCCTAAAACAGAGAATATTTACGTCATCGATTCCATCACAAATCCAAAAATATGAGGTTTATTCCTCATTTTTGCATCGTGTAAAGAGCCACACATATCATTCCTTGAGACAACTGTACATCCGGAACCTCTCTATACAACACAGATACAGCCTACAGTGGAGGGCTTTTTTGGTTGCTTTATGCCCCCTCACCAAATCCTGTCTGGTTGTAACTTTAGACAATTTTTTATGAAAGTGTATTGTTATTCCTCAACAGGTTCTATGCTGGGTGCCTCACTTATGGCTCATGGTACAAGCTGTGATGGCTGTTTTGGGCCTATAATAATTTTCACCTTCTTGGTCCTATAATAATTTTCACCTTCTTGGTCCTATAATAATTTTCACCTTCTTGGGCCTATAATAATTTTCACCTTCTTGGTCCTATAATAATTTTCACCTTCTTGGTCCTATAATAATTTTCACCTTCTTGGTCCTATATAATAATTTTCACCTTCTTGGGCCTATATAATTTTCACCTTCTTGGTCCTATAATAATTTTCACCTTCTTGGGCCTATAATAATTTTCACCTTCTTGGTCCTATAATAATTTTCACCTTCTTGGGCCTATAATAATTTTCACCTATAATAATTTTCACCTTCTTGGGCCTATAATAATTTTCACCTTCTTGGGCCTATAATAATTTTCACCTTCATGAAGGTTATTGTGAACTTTTGAACTGTGGGGAAGGCCACTTAAAATTACTCAATTGAGGTGAGGGGGATGGTAGGCAGCTGGGAATTCCTGTTTTTCTTTAACTAAACTGACCAGTGTTCTGAGCCCCGCCCTTTGGAGGTTATATGTGGAAAGGTGTGAATTTACTTGGGTGGGTGAGTCAGGGGGTGGTCTTTTGCAGAGTATATAACACCTTAGCAAAACCCCCAATGTCCTCTTTTTGTCCCCTTGCCTCTTTGGAAGCCCAGTCCAGGGGCGGACTGACCATTTGGAAACTCGGGCACTGCCCGAGGGCCCAGGGTCAGTAGGGGGCCCCAGGAGATGCCCCTGGTACCTTTTTCATAGGCTTTTTTGAGTTTGGGCAAGGACACAGGGGCACCATGATCCCCTATTGCCCGGGGGCCCAGTGAGTGGTCAGTCCGCCCCTGGCCCAGTCATGATGTCTGCGTAACGTATTATTCTAGGTTTCCTTTCTGTATTTCTTTCCTGTAGTCATCTCTTTGTATTGGTAACATTCTGTATTTGCATTGTAATATTACTACTTTAAAGTTATACCGGCTACTATTAATTTTGTCATAATTGATTAGTAGTCAGCTTCTTTGCTGTGTAAATAAATTAGATCTTTATTTTTGCCCAGTTGTTATCCTTTGCTAATAACATTATTGGTAATAGCTGGATGAGGATTGGCTAAATTCATGTATAGACAAAAGGTTCTAATCACTTATTACATTTATAATCTTTGATAGAACCAAGGGAATAAGTGTGGTAGCGAAACCGCCAAAACAAAGCAAGTCTTAGCCAACCAGAATTTTAACAATTTTTTTTTTTAAATAAAAGTTATTGCTTTACACATTCCAGCAGGAGGCTTATACCATATATGCCAACTGTCTTGGATCTGCTGGGCTAATGCCTCATCTTGGCCCTCTGTTCTATCAGGGTTATGTCCCAGAATCACAACATCAACCGCAGTAGCACCTGTTTCCCAGAAGGCCATTTAGGGGTTGTGTTATCAAAGTGCTGGGTGGCTGATTTTTTTTTCAGGTCCATCTCTCTGTGGTTGGGAGTTCAGCTGTTGGGTGGACAGAGCTTGATGGATTATGTCCACCTCCTCTTAGAATGACACTTAGCAGAGCCTGATGGGTGATTCTGAGAGGTTACTTCCCAACCAGGTCCACCTACCTTGTGATTGACAAATGGTCCCATGTGCACACACCCTAATTATTTTTGCTGGTAATGCTTGGAGCAGATAGATCTGAGAAGTAACCATCGGAATCCAATGATAGATGTGATCACCATGCAACCAGATTACCAAACTGACTCACATATTGTCATTAATGAAAGCAAATAACTGTGGGATTTGTACCAGAATGTATAAGAGAATATCAGTATTGATGTTACCCTGGGCAATACGCGGCCATTCTGAGATGCTTTAACTTCATATGTTTGTCCGCTATACAACGAGTCAGTCTGGTGAGGTTTGCGTAATCTGTAATAGTGCTCCATCGGGTCTTTCGTCTCATTATTGTCAATATCCTGTAATCGGCCAGAAAAAAAAAAAAAGCTTCTTAACTTCACAAATATATCTTTCATTTGAAAATAAAGAAAAGCTTCATCCTAATTAGCCAAAATGAATAATAAATGAATGAACAAATAAAAATAAACACTATTTCTATGCCATGAGTCCAGCTTTATCAAGTTCTCCTTGTACCGCTGTGCCCCATGCTGCCATTTGAATTGAGATCCAGCACGTGCACAGAGACATACAGACTCATACACATTTGTAGGACACTTAGATCTGGACGAGACCCATGAAAAATCTACCAGATCCCCTATGAATGATTTAGGCAACACCCAGAATGCCAAAAGCCTTCCTTCCTTACTTTGCTTCTAGACTACAATAAAAATTATTATTATTATACAGTATTTATAAAGCGCCAATAGTTGGCTCAGCGCTGTACATTACAAAAGGGGGACAGAACATGTGACAGAACAATACCAATACAATGCAAAACATGAGGGGATCGAGGGCCCTGCTCTTTGGAGCTTACAATCTAGGAGGGAGGGGATGGTGGCACAGGAGGAGATAGCTGTAGGGGATGGAGTGGTAGGAAGAGTGGAGGAGGTCAGCAAGTTAGCAGGGGTGGGGTAGGTTTCCCTGAAGAGATGGGTTTTCAGGGTGCGCCTAAAGGAGAGGAGAGTAGGTGATAATCTGATGGGTGGGGGCAGGGAGTTCCAGAGGATGGGTGACACCCTGGAGAAGTCCTGGAGGCGGGCATGGGAGGAGGAGACCAGGGAACTAGAGAGAAGGAGGTCTTGTGAGGAGCGGAGTGTGTGTGCTGGGCGGTTCTTGGATATTAGGTCGGTGATGTAGTTCGGGGCAGTATGGTGGACGGCTTTGTACGTCAGTGTTAGGATTTTGAATTTGATCTGTTGAGCAATCGGAAGCCAGTGGAGGGATTGGCAGAGGGGGGTGGTGGAGATGGAGCGGTTGGAAAGGTGAATGAGTCTGGCAGCCGTATTCAGGATCTGATAAAAAAAATAGCTCAAAATTGTAAGATTCCTTAAGATAGAGTTTTGGAGGAAGATATGACATCGTGGGTTGAAGATAGTCATTAGGGCAAGCCATAGATGATTCAATTTTCTTTCTTCCACCACGGGTGGAAGGGAAGAAAATTCCACCGACTATGTTGATGGGGAATCCCTCATGCGGACCTATTGTGTTCTGCTAGCGGGAAGCCTTCCCGGTCAGCAGAACACAATGATTACTGCTGGCGGCTATAGCCAATGGATCGACTTGGGTACAATCAGCCTGCCCATAGATGGACCAAATCTTGAACCAGCCAAGATTCGATCCATCAATGGCTGGCTTAAGTGTTAATCTGAGCTTTGAAAAAAGCCTAAAGCTGGCCACTGACAGTAGAGGATAGAATGATATGTGAGCATTATCTGCCCTTAAGCATCAGTGTTCTTTGCTGGGTCACTAAACATTCAGGTTCTCCTGGAGTTTCATTGAGTTCTTGGGCAGTCAAGATTATCCTATGCTGAGTTGAGGAGGAGGCATGATCAGAGTTTTTTTTCTATCCTGTCTAGTTATTATCCCCCCAGTGATCCTCAGCTAGTGGTGATTAGATGCTCCTCACAGACATTGGGTCATCAACAGGGAAAAACTTGGATTCAACTCTGGGTTTGGTCAGAACCCATGTCTGGCCAAACTGAAAAGTTAAATGTTATTGCTGGGTCAATCAGCTGCGGAAGTGGGATTCCCTTCCCCACAAATGGACAAACACAAATGGGCTGGGGATGCGTGTGACATCATTGACCTAATATGGCCATGTGGCAATGTCAGGTCAAAATGGTCATGAGCATTCTGCCCCTTTGTGTACATGCAGGGGGGAAAATGCCCTGCCTGTAGGTGATTGGCCCAGCACTCACAGCTTACTTCCAGGTTCAGAACAAACTCAAGCTCATCTCTACTTTGGTCTTAGATCTCGGGGAACCTGAATGCCTCCACATGAACTAGGAGATTCTCTGAAAAGCAAAAATGTTTAATCAGTGATTACATATTTACAAAGGGCCTATACTAGGGGTGCTAAACCTGTGGCCCAGGGGCCACATGTGGCTCTCAGAGCCCTCTGATGTGGCTCTTGACCTTAAACCAGGGAAAGTGCACTTCTATTATATCTTGCGGGTTTGGTAAACATTCTGCACCAAAACTCCTGAATGTGGGAGTTTTCATCTGCTTGCACCACATCGGCAAGATATAATAGTAGCCTATAGCAAAGCACAGCTAACCCACAGGAGGCCACAGGTGCACTGCGCAGAACCCGCAGTGCGGGTAAACCACAGCGCATCAGTGTGAAAACAGCCTTATAGGGGGCTCAAAACAATAAGGGCTCATTTACATTTGTAGTAAAACCCCATAGTTAAGACATGTTTTTACTACCCCCCCCAACCACTGGTGTAGCATCAGGGGTCACAATGGTGACCCTGCCCCATGCTCCAGGGGGCCTGTGTGGCTTCTCTGTCACATTTTGTTTTACACTTGGAAAGGAGGGGCTGCATATCCAAAAACCAATCCTCTCTAGTTTCCTCCTGCAACAGCTAAAATCCTCCTATCCCTCCCACTGGCATTCAGCGTCTGCAGGAGGAAAATGTTATTATAATAAAAAAAAAAAAATTGAAATTCTGAAGCATTTTATTTCATTGTGGCCCGCAACCGTTTACCAAATCACCTAAGCGGCCCTCGCTCTTTAAAGGGTTGAGCACCCCTGGCCTAGACAATAAGAAAACAAATACATGTGCTTTTAAATGATTATTGTCTGAAGTACTAGGTAACAAATCACAATTTCAAAGAAACCAAGAAATATGTGGATATAATTTACCATTTCAACTGACTGGTTACAGGGCATAAGGTAGAGATGGATTCTGAACTTCCTGTGATCTGGATCAGTAATTCCGGATATCCTCCAATATATTAGAACCATGCCATGAATGGCTATGAGTCTTTTTATTCCATCCCTTATCAACTTCAATGGATAAAAAAACAATTGTGATAAGGGAGAAGGTGGGATTCTCCAAGACAACATAGTACGGCTCAACTCTAGTTGGTGTTCCAAGGATAGGTTATCATCTTTGAAGTGAAGACATTTAATACACGATGTGTCTTCTTTCAAACCTACAAACAAATTTAGAAATTAAAAATATATAGGTTTGTAGTTCTATTGCTGCCGTTTTATTAAATTATAGGAACTTGTGGGGTGAGATAGGATAAGCTGTTTGTTTTTTACGTACCTTTTTAGATTGGAAACCTGTATATATTTTGTCCACTTGAACCTGGAAAATGTGACCTTAGCCTATTATGTGCAGCGATTTCTTAAGAGGATCACTACAGAAGACAGCTTTCTTAGCCAACCTATAGCTTTAAAGGGGTTGCACAAGTAGTTTGAAAAATATATAAATGGTAATGGCACACACCGGTGTGCCATTATCCATTGAAGGTCTGCTTATTGTTTTGGATTCCCCACCGCCAAGCCAAAACACCACATCATGCCTGATAGGAAAGAAAAAAAGGAAAAGATGGTAGACATACTTAAATTACATGGGGCTTCCAGCCTTGGTGAGTAGGTGAGGGTGATGTTGTGACCTTTCCAGTGAAATCCTGGAATGTTCTGAAATCTTGAGTGGCGAAGCTCATGTTCTGCACTGGAATGTCATCTCATGGAAAGCATGATGTCACCAGAAGCTGGGTATGTGGTAAGTACACTCACCAACCACTTTATTAGGTACACCTTGTAAGTGCTAAGAAAATCTCTCCCACACCATGACACCACCACCAGGATGGATCCACCACACCATGACACCACCATCACCAGCCTGAACCGTTGATACAAGGCAGGATGGATCCACCACACCATGACACCACCACCCCCAGCCTGAACCACTGATACAAGGCAGGATAGATCCCCCACACTATGACACCACCACCAACAACCTGAACGGTTGATACAAGGCAGGATGGATCCACCACACCATGACACCACCACCACCACCAGCCTGAACCACTGATACAAGGCAGAATGGATCCACCACACCATGACCACCACCAGCCTGACCATGATATAAGGCAGGATGGATCCCCCACACCATGACACCACCCTCCAGCCTGAACCATTGATACAAGGCAGGATGGATCCCCACACCATGACCACCACCAGCCTGAACCATTGATACAAGGCAGGATGCCCACACCATGACACCACCACCAGCCTGAACCATTGATACAAGGCAGGATGGATCCCCCACACCATGACACCACCACCCCCCAGCCTGAACCATTGATACAAGGCAGGATGGATCCCCCACACATGACACCACCACCAACAACCAACCTGATACAAGGCAGGATGGATCCACCACACCATGACACCACCACACCACCAGCCTGAACCACTGATACAAGGCAGGATGGATCCCCCACACCATGACACCACCACCTCCAGCCTGAACCATTGATACAAGGCAGGATGGATCCCCCACACCATGACACCACCAGCCTGAACCATTGATACAAGGCAGGATGGATTCCCCACACCATGACACCACCACCAGCCTGAACCATTGATACAAGGCAGGATGGATCCCCCACACCATGACACCACCACCACCAGCCTGAACCATTGATACAAGGCAAGATGGACCAATGCTTTCATGTTGTTTATGCCAAATTCTGACCTTACCATCTGAATGCGCAGCTGAACCAATGTACCCATTCTCCTCTGACATCAACCAGGCATTTTCCTCCAGACAACTGCCGCTCACTGAATATTCTCTTTTTCAGACCATTCTCTGTAAACCCTAGAGATGGTTGAGCATGAAAATCCCAGTAGATCAGTAAATTTTGAAATACTCAGACCAACCCGACTGGCACCAACAACCATGCCATGTTTAAAGTCACTTACAAGCCCTTTCTCCACATTCTGATGCTCGGTTTGGACTTCAGCAAGTCATCTTCACCATGTCTAAATGAGTTGAGTTGCTGCCATGCGATTGGCTGATTAGCCATTTGTGTTATCAAGCAGTTGAACAGGTGGACCCAATAAAGTGGCCGGTGAGTATATATTGTTCCTGCAGGTATGATGGGGTGTTTTGGAATAGGGATGAAATATGCATTTTAGTGCAAGGTCAGCTTTAATCTGTCAGCTTTTTTTTTTTTTTTTTTTTAAAAAAATGGGCATTTTTTGCCCATAAAACCACATGAACAATATTGTATTTTTTTCCATTTATGTTATTTATTTTCTCTGTACAGAGATAATAAATCATACACATTCAAACCCAGACCTTTAAACACTAATCTGTCACAGCCATTCCCATAATCCTATCCAGGCACGCAAGGTTCGGTAAAAAAAGATTACAAATCTAGAAATATAATTCACTGACTTTGGTTTTATTGAGTTTTGAGATGACTTGAAAGCGTTACATTACCTTTTATGCACAAACAATGAGGCAGGTACACCGCAGAGACCACGCCGGGTTCCAGGTCAGTTTTGATGTTGAAGATGGGACCTAATATTTCATAATCATTCTGTAGATTCTGAAGTAGGGAACCGTAACTACTCCAGGACTCCAATTGAAATTCAATGGTCACCGGGCGAGTCACTTCGAATTTAATTCCCGTCTTTGAACAACGGAAGAGTCCAGCAGATTGAAGTTCTAGGCTGGAGCAAAGAGGCAGAACACACGGGCCGTTAGACAACAACATTCACTGAGTCTTGTGTAAACGCATTCTCTGCATGAATGTAAAATACCTTGATCCAGGGAATATCCGATTGCCTCTCGGGGGATCAGGAAATAATTTTTTTCCAGCAGGAGCAAATTGGATCGTGCTTTGCTGGGGGTTTTTTTTTGCCTTCCTCTGGATCAACTGTGGGTGTAGGATTATAACTTTTTTTTTTTTTAATGGTTGAACTGGATGGACTTTTGTCTTTTTTCAGCCAGACTAACTATGTAACCTTCTATGCAACAGGATCCCCCCTCAATCTAACCTAAAGTGGAACTCCAGTCTCCTTGGCGGGTTTCTCCAAAAGGTACGCCCGTGATTCTCTTTAGTTGCACAATATAACTAGATACTGATACTGTTTTCTTCTTCTTACATGTAAATATGACATTCATCACAGGCCCCCAGTAGACAGGCAGCGGCCATTACTAGTGTGGGCAACTGAAGCCCGCTCCTACTTGCTTCTGGGATTCCGTGCAGTTAGCTACCCAGCAGGCACCTCCCGATTTTGCGCCTGCACAGTAAGGACACAGCACAGCGCACTGTCTTGCTTACAAGTCGCCATAACAACGGTGGCACCGATGGACGTTCCCGCCCCGTGGTTATGGCAACCTGTCAATCAACACAGAACCTGGAAAGAAGGCAATTATGGTCTGAAGGTTCCTGAGATAGATGACAGCGATATCTCTGGAGCCCTAGGGAATCGCCTAATGATGAAATCGCCTAGGCGGCCGGGGGACCGAAAATGGAAACTACATATAGAAAAATAAGGTACTTAGAAAAAAAATATAAAATAAAATATTTGCCATTACAGACTGTTCTGCGGATGACCATTGTGTTGCATGAAACATGAAAAAAATGGGTGGAACTCCGCATTAAGACCAGCGCTGTGCATGAGAGCAATGACTCCTCGCAGGGCAGATTGATAGCAGCGGGGGCCGTGACTCCTGCTGCTGTCAATCAAATCCTATGACAAGAGAGTGGGGGATGAGGCCAAGCCCCGCTGTCTATGTCTATGGACGCAGGTGCAAGGCTTGGGAGCAGGCCCGTATAGGAAGCAGCTTCCTATGGGGGCCACTTGCTGCAGAAGGGCCAAGGGTGGTGGCGGGGGACCCCAGAAGAGGAGGATTGGGGCTGCTTTGTGCATAACCACTCCAAACAGCAGGCAAGCATAACATGTTGATTATATATTTTTGAAAAAGTAAGCTTTACAACCACTTTAAGGAAGGAATCAGTCAGAGAAGATTGCTGGATGATCTTCAATTTCCCTGTACCCCTTGTTCCTGTGTTTCTTGCGTTTATCCTCATTTCCTCTTACAGACTCAGCTTGCCTCTGGACTTCCCTTCTGCTTGGCTTCTAGTTGTGACCCCGGTTTGTTGAAGGACTCTGATTCTCTCTGTCTTCTGTGTATGACCCTGACCTGGCTCCTGACTATGTTTCTAACTACATCCATCTGATCCATCATGTACAGTATAACCTTGGCTTGGCTCCTGGCTATTCTTCTACCTCCCTCTTCATGGTCTATCACGCATGACCTTGGCTGTAGTTCCTGACCTTGTTATAACTACCTCCACCATTGAGGTGTCCTCACACCATCCACAGCTGATATCTGACCTGGTTACCACTAGTGTACCTCGCATTCCTGCCAATTTCCTGTCCGCCCACCTAAAAACGTTTTTGCTGGTTCCTTCCTGGAGCAGACATCAGCAAGCCTTGGCACCCATGAGCCTTGCACTACCTGTCATCACCTCTAGGGGTGCTTGGACCATAGCCACAAGGGGAGCCCTCTCATCACTTCGGCCTCCAACCAGGTAAGTGACAGTTCAACTGAACTGTTACTTTTTACAGTTTTGTCTGAATTTCCACATACCTATTTCTGGTTTGATGAAGATGGTTGTGGTTGTGTCTTTGTGGACAGGTTTCTGGTTGTGTGAGTATGGTACTAAGTGTGTCTCTGCAGAAGAGTTTCTGGATGTGTCAATACAGAACGGATTGTGACTCTGCAGGTAGGTTGATGGTTGTGCAGTACTCTACTTACTGCTTCTCTGCTGACATGTTGGGTTTCAGTACAATTACAGACGGTGTATTTACAGATATATTTCTGTTGTGTCAGTATGGTACTCATAGGGGCTGATTTACTGAAGACAAATAGACTGTGCACTCTGCAAAGTGCAGATGCTCCAGAGCTTAGCAAATGAGCAGAGGCTCTTCTGACTTCCATCATCCAATCATGTGCAAGAAAAAATGCTGTTTTTTATATTTTCCTTGCATGTGATTGGGTATTCTTTGCAAAGTGTAGCTTTACCTCATTTACTAAGCTCTGGAGCAACTGCAAATAGGCTGTGCACTCTGCTCATTTGCTAAGCTCTGGAGGAACTGCACTTGCAGAGTGCACCGTCTATTTGCCTTTAGTAAATCAATCCCACTGTGTTTATGCAAACATGATTCTGGCTGTATCAGTGTGGTCCTGATTGTGTCTCTCCATTGAGGACATGTTTCTGGGGGTGTCAGTATGGTCCTGATTGTATCTCTGAGGACATGTTTCTGGGGGTGTCAGTATGGTCCTGATTGTATCTCTGAGGACATTCTTCTGGTCCTGATTGTGTCAGTGTCAGTATGGTCCTGATTGTATCTCTGAGGACAGGTTTCTGGGGGTGTCAGTGTGGTCCTGATTGTATCTCAGAGGACAGGTTTCTGGTCCTGGTGTCAGTGTGGTCCTGATCCTGATTGTATCTCAGAGGACAGGTTTCTGGTGGTGTCAGTGTGGTCCTGATTGTATCTCAGAGGACAGGTTTCTGGTGGTGTCAGTGTGGTCCTGATTGTATCTCAGAGGACAGGTTTCTGGTGGTGTCAGTGTGGTCCTGATTGTATCTCAGAGGACATGTTTCTGGTGGTGTCAGTGTGGTCCTGATTGTATCTCAGAGGACATGTTTCTGGTGGGTGTCAGTGTGGTCCTGATTGTATCTCAGAGGACATGTGTCTGGCTCTGCTGTGTCAGTGTGGTCCTGATTGTATCTCTGAGGACATGTCTCTGGCTGTGTCAGTGTGGTCCTGATTGTATCTCAGAGGACATGTTTCTGGTTGGCTGTGTCAGTGTGGTCCTGATTGTATCTCTGGCTGTGTCAGTGTGGTCCTGATTGTATCTCAGAGGACAGGTTTCTGGTGGTGTCAGTGTGGTCCTGATTGTATCTCAGATTGGCTGTGTCAGGTTTCTGGCGGTGTCAGTGTGGTCCTGATTGTATCTCTGGCTGTGTCAGTGTGGTCCCGATTGTATCTCTGGCTGTGTCAGTGTGGTCCCGATTGTATCTCTGTCTGGGTCATTGTGTGGTCCAGTGTGATTATAGATCAGTGGAGATGTTTTTGGGTCTCTTCGTATTGCATTACAATGTATTCAAACATATTTATTAAATGTACTTTTCACCCAAAACATGATACTGAAAACATACAAACCTCCATAGATCCCCGCCTGAGGATGAACCGTCTTCCTTCTGATAACACTTCGATAAAACATGACACACTGATATGAGAGACACTGTCGTCTTACCTGAACTGCATTCCTGTAATAACTGGCAGGACTAGGACAGCAGAATCCTCATCCTATAATAAAAGCAGAGTGATCATAAAGATACAAATGTACACAGACTGGCAGAGTATTGGATCCTGACACAGACCAGCAGAAATCTCTCAGGCTTCATGCACACGAGCGTTTCTTTTAAGCTAGAAAATCACTAGATAAAAAAACACCGGAGTAGTCTTAGTTGCATTTTAGTAGCATTTTTACAGTGTATGTAGGTAAAACAAAAAAGCTAAAAAAAAAAGCTGTTAGTAGCATTTTTAGTAGCATTTAGAAGTGTTTAGTGTTTTTTTGTCTGCTGGGAAAATGCCCCCAAAAGCTCTGCAAAATGGCAGCACAGTGGCTGAGTGGTTAGCACTGCCCCTGGCAGTGCTAGGGTCATTGCTTCAAATCCCAACCTCAGCACCACCTGCCTGGAGTTTGCATGTTCTCCATGTGCCTGCGTGGGTTTCCTCCAGATGCTCCAGTTTCCTCCCACACTCGGACATGAATACAGAAACAGACCAGCATAAATCGGTATGGCAGTGCTGCCGGCTTCCCCCCTTTCCTTTCCACTGGCAGCAGTAAACACACAATAGGATCCTTCAGGAGAGTGGAGGAAGGGTCCAGGAGATAAGTCACAATTGCCAGCCCTTTCTTTCCTGAATGAACACAGTGAGTGATCGTTGCTGATCATTAACTGTGTTCATTCATAACTGAAGCATTGTAAAACTGTATTTTTTTTGGGGGGGTGGGGCCTGCCAGATTTTCTGTATGGTGCCCCGTGGTCTCTAACAGCAGCCCTGCTGGGCTGACAGGAGTAGTGATGCAGTTGTCGCTACTCCTGTCAGCCTTGTAACAGAAGGAAAGCGCCCCCATCCCTATAGTAAACCATTTTTACCCAGGGCAGCCGCCCCTCCTTCCCACCCCTTGTTCCGGCCCTGTCACCAAGACAGACACAGACAACAATTTGTTAAAAACAAAAAGTCAGACTTTGTTATTCACCTGCAGCGTCCACTGTGGTCATGCATAGAGCAAGCAGGAGGGAAACTATTGCAGATGTAGATATTGGAGGAGAACATCTCCTCTGGGATTTGTCTAACCACAAAACAAAGCCTAGTGGAGCTGTGCCGGCATTCAAAACATAAAGGCAGAATGCAAAAATATACTAAAGTACACATAAAATCAAAAGTATGTATAAAGCTTTACCTTCCCACAAAGCGCGCATTGCAACCGATCACTTTGTTGAGGAGAAAAAATATTCTGTGCGCATTCTGTAAAAGGTTATAGGACACATCAGCGAGTCCCAGCTGGAGTTTTAATTCGAAAAAGGCTAGGTTCACATGTGTGCGGGTGATTGCGCTGCAGGAACGCAGGAGCTGTGTGCGGGTGCCATTAACGAATATACGCTGGAAATAGCTCCCACACTGAGAATCGCACTGCACTTGCAGTTCCCGTGCGGGCTACGATTTCTGAAGTACAGTACTGCAGGGACCTTTTCCTTGCATTTCAAGCAGAGCTGCACAGATATCAACCTGGCCTAAAAGCAAAATATTCTGAAAACCTGCCTATCTTTTACATGAAAGATTTATCTGCAAGAAATATTTTTTCATGTTGAATACATTATACACGCTCAAAAAAATTTAAAGGAACACATTTTAATCAGAGTCTAGCATCAAGTCAATGAAACTCCTGGGATATTGATCTGGTCAGGTAAGTAGCAGAGGGGGTTGTTAATCAGTTTCAACTGCTTTGGTGTTAATGAAATTAACAACAGATGCACTAGATGGGCAACAATGAGACGACCCCAAAACAGGAATGGTTTTACAGGGGAGGCCACTGGCATTTGCTTCCCTACTCCACTTTTGACTTTTTTTCACTAGTTTTGCATTTGGCTAGGGTCAGTGTCACTACTGGTAGCATGAGGCCATACCTGGACCCTACAGAGGTTGCACAGGCAGTCCAACAGGATGGCACATCAATACGTCCCATTGCCAGAAGGTTTGCTGTGTCTCCCAGCACAGTCTCAAGAGCATGGAGGAGATTCCAGGAGACAGGCAGTTACTCTAGGAGAGCTGGATGGGGCTGTAGAAGGTCCTTAACCCATTAACAGGACCAGTATCAGGACCAGGATGAGCCCTGCCAGAGCCCTACAAAATGACCTCCAGCAGGCCACTGGTGTGAATGTCTATGACCAATCAGAAACAGACTTCATGAGGGTGGCCTGAGGGTCCAACGTCCTCTAGTGGGCCCTGTGCTCACCATAGAGCTGGATTGGCATTTGTCATTGAACACTGGAATTGGCAGGTCCACCACTGGCACCCTGTGCTTTTCACAGATGAGAGCAGGTTCCCCCTGAGCACATGTGACAGACATGAAGGGTCTGGAGAAGCCGTGGAGAACATTCTGCTGCCTGTAACATGGTTCAGCATCACCGTTTTGGTGGTGGGTCAGTGATGGTCTAGGAAGGCATATCCATGGAGGGACGCACAGACCTCTACAGGCTAGACAATGGCACCCTGACTGCCATTAGGTATCGGGCACAGCAAACCTTCTGGCAATGGCACGTATTGATGTGCCATCCTGGAGGAGTTGGACTGCCTGTGCAACCTCTGTAGGGTCAGGTATGGCCTCATACTACCAGTAGTGACACTGACCCTAGCCAAATGCAAAACTAGTGAAAAACTAAAAGACGAGTAGGGAATAAAAAAGGTCAATGGCCTCCACCTGTAAAACCATTCCTGTTTTGGGGGTCATCTCATTGTTGCCCATCTAGAGCACCTGTTAATTTCATTAATACCAAAAGCAGCTGAAACTGATGAACAACCCCCTCTGCGACTTACCTGACCAGATCAATACCCCAGGAGTGTCACTGACTTGATGCTAGACTCGGATTACAAATTTTTCCTTTTTTAATTTTTTTGAGCTGTGTACTTATATCTACAAACTGAACGTTTATGTGTAAAAAACAATCTGTGTGAGAGGAAAAAGTAACAATTCTGTACAAAAAATGTTTGTACTATGCATTCTATCATCATTTAAAGAATAAAGCCCCTTATGTGTAACATCTTTACCTGTCCCGGTAGCTGTACTCCAGTCACTGCGCTCAGGGTCGGCCTTCCTGCCAGGATCAGGATCTTTGCTACATCCTGCAGAATTGATGAGAGACACAAAGGAGCGCAGAGAGGTCAGTCACTAAATGGTACAAAACATCACAAGTCAGACTAGATAACTATTTTTAAAAGGGATTTTGCCATAAACCTCAACGCCTGTGTGATTAGGCTGGACATATGCGGCCCGTTCTGCTCCGAATCGAAATTCAGACGAAATTTTAATTATTCGGGTAATCGGATGTATCCAAATTTCTTAATTACAATAGTAGAATTTAAAAATCTGAAATAACAAAATTAAATAAAAAAAAAACTAAACTAGAATCCAGTTAGAATCAAATCAAATGTGAATTGAATTCAAAACCAAAATTGAATTTAAAAACAAATTCGAAGTTTAAACATATTGCTGACTATTGCGTATATTAGTGATTAGTGTAGTAGTGATAGAACATGACTGTCTTCTGAAATTCGAACTTTCAAAAGAGTAGACTAGAATAAAACAGAATAGAATAGATGTGAACAGAATAGATTTGAACAGAGTAGAGTAAAACAGAGAATAGATGTGAACAGAATAGAGTAAAACAGAATAGATTTGAACAGAGTAGTAAAAAAGAATAGAAAAACAGAATAAAAACAAGAAAAAATAGAAAATAGAATAAATAAATAAAATAGAAAATAAAGGAATGGAATAGAATAGAGAAGAACAGAGTAAAAGACCAGAATAGAATATAAAATAAAAGGGATAGAAAAGAAAAGGATATAGTAAAATAGAAAGAATATAGCCATCTTCCAAAATTAAATTTTTTAAAAAGAACAGAATAAAACAGGATAGAAAAGAATAGAGTACAACAGAACAGAATAGAATAGAGAATAAAAGACTAGACTAAAATAAAATAGAAAATAAAAGGAATGGAATATAAAAGAAGAAAATAGAAAAGAATAGAAGAAAAGAGTAAATAAAGAATATAATAGAATAAAATAAAAAGATAACCGTCTTCCGAAATTCGAATTTCGAATAGAATAGAACAAGCAATTCTTCACAATGAACTCGGATTGATTTGACATTTCCTATTCAAATTCGATTTGAATACTTCATATCCACTGAAAACATTTTAATCCGATTGAAAACAAATAAAGGAAACAAATTCTGCCTTGAATTCAACAAAACAAGATTAATTAACTTAAAGTGTTCCTAAACCCCGGACCCCGCATTCACTATATCAGGTCACCCCGGACCCCGCATTCACTATATCCGCTCTCCCCGGACCCCGCATTCACTATATCCGCTCTCCCCGGACCCCGCATTCACTATATCCGCTCTCCCCGGACCCCGCATTCACTATATCCGCTCTCCCCGGACCTGCATTCACTATATCCGCTCTCCCCGTACCCTGCATTCACTATATCCGCTCTCCCCGGACCCTGCATTCACTATATTCGCTCTCCCCGGACCCCGCATTCACTATATTAGGTCTCCCCCGGACCCCGCATTCACTATATCCGCTCTCCCCGGACCCCGCATTCACTATATCCACTTTTCCCGGACCCCGCATTCACTATATCCACTCTCCCCGGACCCCGCATTCACTATATCTGCTCTCCCCGGACCCTGCATTCACTATATCCACTTTTCCCGGACCCCGCATTCACTATATCCGCTCTCCCCGGACCCTGCATTCACTATATCCGCTCTCCCCGGACCCTGCGTTCACTATATCCGCTCTCCCCGGACCCCGCATTCACTATATCCGCTCTCCCCGGACCCTGCATTCACTATATCCGCTCTCCCCGGACCCTGCATTCACTATATCCGCTCTCCCCGGACCCCGCATTCACTATATCTGCTCTCCCCGGACCCCGCATTCACTATATCTGCTCTCCCCGGACCCCGCATTCACTATATCCGCTCTCCCACAGTACACAGAACATGGAAATGCAATTATTTTAGTAAATATAACACTGCTAAATAACTTCTCATCAGCAGTATATAGCAGTCTTGTGACTTCAGCAGAGCACTGGTTAAAGCTTGTAGAAGTTTTCTTTCTGCTCTAGGAGAATGCAGAACCCCTGACCTCTGTATGGACAGTGCTGATTGACCCTGTGCTGATCACATGCACTCTCCCAAGAAAAAAAAAACAACCTCTCTAGCAATACACACCAAAATGAGCATGTGAAGAAGAGCTATGGTTTAGTCAGTCTTATCAGCGTGGACATTTGAACAAGAAGAGGGGCAGAGAAGACAGGATCAAGCAGCCTTTTTACACAGTGCGGAGGATTAACCCCTTAGGTTCCACAGTGACTATAACAAGCATGCTTTACTGCATAGAAAGACTTATTTTACTGTTTGGGTTTAAATCGATGCAAAACTGCACGTTCGTTCTGCACATATCTAGGTCAGGTAGCAATCACTGCCTGAGAGCCCTTTCACACGGTGCTGCATGTGCCCACAGGTTTGGAGCGGGTTAGCTGCACTTTCCCATGCATTCAGGAGCTTTCAGATAGCACACCGATACCACGGGACTCAATATACAGTAACTCTATGGGAAGGTGTAGCTAACCCGCTCCAGACCCGTGCATACATTGCACTGCGAGAATATTGCACCACATCGGTGTGATAGAAGGGCTCTGACCAGGGGTGGACTGACAACTCATGGGGCCCCCGGGCAATATGGGATCATGGGGCCCCTGTGTCCTTGCCCAAACTCAAAAAGCCTATGAAAAAGGTACCAGGAGCATCTCATGGGGCCCACTACTGACCCCGGGCCCTCAGGCAGTGCCTGAGTTTCCAAATCATCAGTCCGCCTGATGATTCTGACTCGTGTCACACACCAGATCTATACGAGTGGTTCACGGCCCCAGTTTAGCTTCACGAATGACGACGGGAGAAATACAGGACTTCTGGACGCCGGTTTCGAGAAGAAATATTAGGATGCCCATTGAACAATGTAGGGATATATAACATCCGATGTGTTGTACCGCGTACATAGTGAAGCCAAAGTGAGCGCCATCAGGATGGACGGTGCCTATGTATCAAAGCATGCGCCATATCACAAAACACGAGGTTAGAATGACTACTGAAGGTAAAAGGAGAGCTGACACGTTTCAGGGATCTGCGTCTTCTTCATCAGTGTTAGTAATCAATGTAGAGGGTCAAAATTCACAAGATATAAACCTTTCATATCAATCATCTGACATATTCTCTTTGTCTTCTATTATAGACTCACCTGGCTGTGGATCTGGACTCACATCTAGCAGACTGGAGCCTCCAGCTGTCCAATCTGGAAGGTATGGGTGTTTCTCGCTACCTGGAGAACATAAATAGCCAATCACTGCTCAGATCATCGGTCACAAGGAACAAAACATGAGCGCTGCTAAGAAAAAAAAATAAAATGAACAAAAAAAGTTTTAGAGAATCAGGATATAGTATGGAGCCCTTTGCTGATGTCAGAGTCCACACTTGAACCCCCCATACCTAAGTTGACCATTGATACTGTAAGGCAGTGGTCTCCAAAAACTGCGGCCCATGGGCCAAATGTAGCCCTTTGCTTGCTTTTATCTGGCCCTTGGGGTACTGTTCCTCTCACTGATAGGAGGCGCTATTTATTCTTCTGACAACAATTATGGGGGAACAAGTCTTCCACTGACAACCATGATGGAGCCTTATTCCTTCCACTGACACCAATGATGGGGCATAATTTATCCATAATTCATAAAAACAAGAGTGCGCACACACAACCGCTCTCAGGTTGAACTGGATGGACTGGTGTCTTTATTTAATGTTACCAACTATGTAACTATATTGGAAATAAACAATGAGGCACTATTCCTCCCACTGACACCAATGATGGGGGACACTATTCCTCCCACTGACACCATGAGGGGGCACTATTCCTCCCACTGACACCAATGATGACTGATACCAGTGATGGGGCACTATTCCTCCCACTGATACCAATGATGGGGCACTATTCCTCCCACTGACACCAATGATGGGGCACTATTCCCCATGACACCAATGAGGGGGCACTATTCTTCCCACTGACACCAATGATGGGGGCACTATTCCTCCCACTGACACCAATGATGGGGGCACTATTCTTCCCACTGACACCAATGATGGGGCACTATTCTTCCCACTGATTCTATTCTTCCCACCACAATGATGGGGGCACTATTCTTCCCACTGACACCAATGATGGGGCACTATTCCTCCCACTGACACCAATGATGGGGCACTTATGACACCTGGGGCCCACTGACACCAATGATGGGGCACTATTCCTCCCACTGACACCTGGGGCACTATTCCCACTGACACCAATGATGGGGCACTATTCCTCCCACCTGACACCAATGATGGGGCACTATTCCTCCCACTGACACCAATGATGGGGCACTATTCCTCCTCCTACTGACCATATGCCCATATAATTTTTTTTAATCCTAATGACTACCCTGCCTAAAACAATGTCTACTTCCACTGATGTCAGGGCATTTTCCACTCCTGCTGGCCATAGTCCAGCCCTCCTAAAGTCTGAAGAACAGTAAACGGTCTCTTTGTTTAGAATGTTTGGAGTCCCCTGCTGTAAGGTACAGTGCCAATCGAAGTTGCTATCCCTAAATAAACAAAAACAAGCTCTTGGACTGGAATGAAGTGGGTGGAAGTCTGAAAATGATTGTTGCCTGGCTGTGCAGGATATAGGGGGACTCAATACTTAGCGGCTCCTTCGGGGGGGTGAGCACTACAACAATAAACCATGTCCATTAGGAACCTATCACAATGCCCCCCATCAAGGTGAGGCCATGGCACTCTTTACATGGTACACTCTTTATCTACAGATATTACCTGTCACCACCATGAAAGGGGCTATTTGGCTGCACTTGCCTCCGGGGTTAAGGTTTCTTAATCCTCCCTGACTAGAAGTCAAAGCAAATGAGTCTTGTAGTCAAAGGGCAATGGGTCTCTATGTCAAGAGCAAATGTCCTGTTGGTATCTTTTTGATGAGAAATGTACTCATTTCTGCGAGTGGCCATTGTGTGATAGGTCAGGTGGTACAAACCAATTGTAGCACTACCCCCTTAGGAGTTGGGTCCCCCTAGAGTCCTCCACACAACTTCATAAAAGCTTGCGTCCAGAGTCAGAGATCAGCCTTAGAGCTTTGTTTTTTTGTTTTGTTTTTTACTTTTTATTTAGGGGATTTTGAACTGGGATAGGGTTAGAGGTGTAAAGAACCAGCAAACACAAATGCTCCTGCGCTTGGGGATGGAGTCGACGCAGGCTACAACCACATTAAGAATGTCCTGGAATATGCACACCTTGCTGCCCTCAAATGCACCGGGGAATCCAAATATACTGAATGAGGAAAGAACAAAGAGGGCGCACAGGCCTAGTGCATTACCATAAAAAATGTTTAATAAAAAATAAAGTAGGTGTTGTACTCACAAATGACAATATAGTCAAGGCACATCATAAAAGAACAGCTGGGTCAACACCGTGCTGAGTAACAGTCCGCAATAGGGAGTTTAGACATCCAAAAGGCTGACGCGTTTCGAGGACTTGCCTTTTCCTCAGAGCCCTCAGAGGGTTAGAGGTGTGCAGGATGCCCAAGGGTACTGATTAACTGAGGACAACATCCTGGAATGATTTACAAGCCTTCTTTGCAGCACAGTCTCTGTTGGAGAGCCAGCCAGCGTCTCCTTAGTGTACCACCCCAGACCCTAGATGAACTTCTCTTCACCCAGCAATCTGGAGGTTCCTGTCACTTTAAGAGATGAACAGTCACTGGTAGGTGAATGATCTGGTTTCTGCACCAGAGTGCTCCTTCCCCTATTCGCTCGGAGGCTGCAGGTGTACTCCCTCAGATCTCTATCCTGTACCACTGGTGGGTTGGTGGCTGCTACCAGTCCTATCAGCTAGGCCGCTCCTTCCCTGCCATACAGGCGGTCCTCTCTCAGGGGGCCAGTGAGCTCTGAGCTTTCCTCCTTTCCAGCTAAGGGCCTGCAGGTAGGCGCCATCCCACAGGGCCTCCTGGCAGCCGCCTTCCTTCAGCCACACATCTTCCTCTCTGTCTTCCACCCAAACTCTGCTGCAACTGAGCAGGCTCCAGAATGTTTAAGAGTGTCCCAGCCCCTTGCCAAGACTTCTGTTGGAGATTGGCTAGGGTCCTTCAACATTTCAGCCAGCCACTGCTTAGATCCACTCACTGCCTCTAATGCCTTCCTCTAAAACCCTAGAGCAGGGGAAAATTCAAGAGGTGCTGGCCTGCAAAGTCTCTTAGCTCCTGACCAAGATTTGACCTTCTGGCTATTACACCCAGGTTGCTATTCAGCCTCCCTTACTAACAATTAAACACTAGCTCCCCCTAGCTAAACTAGGAGGGTGCTACACAAAACCAATAAAACCAATCCTAGGCTTCATTTCACTTTCAGTCTAAATGGCTGCTTTTGGCAATGTGGCGAATCTGGGCTCAGAGAACGCTGCAAGATGCGACCTATAATGGAGCAATAATAGTGCTGAGACTTACTTGGTTGTAGAGACTGCTCCATGTCTATCTCTTCCAGGAGTTTGATCATCGGCTCATGCTCTTCCTTCAATATATTGTATAAAGCGTCCTTTTGTGCAATACTCCACCCACTGATATAAAAGTACAGCGTTCTCATCCGATCTTGATTGGTTCGTTGTTCCTCTATTTTGTCACACTGTTCAAATGTCAACAGATCCTTGATCATGAGATAATACAGAAGGCGCTCCACCTGAGTTGTTCGTTCTATCAGTTTCTGCCGATATCTGTCCACAAAGTGCTCCTTTTCTAAAAATACAGTTATAATAATATATTTTTTATCATTTGTTCACCTTTTATTAAATGTTTACAATTTAATCGGTGGAAGTTATATCTGTTTTTATTTCCATTATTTAGTGACAAAACACATTATACTGCAAGAGTAGGAGGTTTGACAAAGGAGCTGACTGGTGCTCCGAAACGCGTTACCTAGGCTACAGATCCATCGCCCTGACGCCACTTCCGGTTTCCTGTGTTCCACGGTGGTTTCCCTGATGTCACTTCCAGTTCCATGGACTTCCCGTCCCTGGAAGCCGGTGCCTCCATGCAACGCTGACATCCACCCTGGTTTAGGCTCCATTGAACCCTGGATGCTGACCCCACCATACCATCTAAACCACGGGTGTCAAACTGGTGGACCTCCAGCTGTTGCCAAACTACAAGTCCCAGGAGGCATTGCAAGATTGACAGTTACAAGCATGACTCCCAAAGGCCAAGGCATGATGGGACTTGTAGTTTCGCAACAACTGGAGGGCCACCAGTTTGACACCCCTGATCTAAACAGTGGCTAACAGAGTGGCTATGGTCCCCATCTAATTTCAGGCTTTTTATCTTCTTCACACGTTAGTTATATCTCCCTTCCTTCCTTTCCTTCGTTCTCTCTCTCTCTCACACACACACATTTTCTCACTCTCTTTATTTCCTTCCTCTCTTTCTCTCCTTCCTTCTTTCCCCCTCACACCAAAGCCACCTACGGGGCTCCTATAAAAAATGTAAAAAAGATAAAATATAAAACTGTAAAAAATAAAATAAAAATAAAAACCTACTGACGCTAGTGGTGGAACTACCAGGGTTGCGAAGGTCACTCTTGCGACCTGGCCCTGGCATTCCACCACCGCGACTCCGAGGAAAGGGTCCCCGGGGCTTGGCTTTGCTCAGTCCAAAATGCCTGGGCCTATTTTTTGTCCCAGTCCGGGCCTGATTATTAATATAGTTTATTGCCATGATGATTGCCTGAATATCATTAGGATTGCCTCATTGTCATTGGCCAATAGAAATATGCAGAAGGAAGAGGCGGGCAAACATATCCTATCAGTAAGTATTAGACCTCTAGCTGTCAGAATGGCTTAGCTGTAACTGGAACATTTTGGAAGCTGCTTCAGCTACATACATCTCTAGGGGGCAGAATGTTATGACCACAGCAGGTTTTTTTTCTGTTTTTTGTTTTAATAATTTTTTAATTATTTTTTGGAAACAGCATCACCAGACCAAAAGAACCTTTCTTGGGCTTCTTTCCATTTCAATCTAAATGGTTTCTGTTGGCAATGTGGTAAATTTGGGCTTAGAGAACGCTGCAAAACCCAACACATAATAATGAAACAGTACTGCGACTTACGTGGTACTAGTTGCTGCTTCTTGTCTTTCTCTTCCAGGAGTTCGATTAGTGGACCATTCTGTTCTTCTAATATTTCATATAAAGCGTCTTTTTGTGCATTATTCCATCTGCTGATATAAAAGTTCAACCTTGCCATCGCCTTTTGTTGGTTTTTCTGGTCTTCTATTATCTTAAACTGTTCAGATGTCAACAGACCCTCTTCCAGAAGACAATTCAGAATGGACTTTTCCAGAGTCATTTGTTCTGTCAGTTCCTGCTGATATCTGTCCACAAAGTGCTTCATTTCTGTCAAAGTAAATTAGTTATTAACAATTTTTTTTAATGTTCACAATTAAATAGTTTAGCACAGTGGTCTCCAAACTGCAGCCCACAGGTTGGATGTGTCCTTTTGGTTGCCTTTATTCGGCCCTTGAGGGATCATTATATCCACTGACACCAATGATGGTGGTGGGGGTCCCACTGATACCAAGAATGGGGCACTATTCCTCCCACTGATACCAAACAATGGGGCACTATTCTTCCCAGTTATATACCAAGAATGGGGCACTATTCCTCCCACTGATACCAAGAATGGGGCACTATTCCTCCCACTGATACCAATGATGGGGCACTATTCCTCCCACTGATACCAAGAATGGGGCACTATTCCTCCCACTGATACCAATGATGGGGCACTATTCCTCCCACTGACACCAATGATGGGACACTATTCCTCCCACTGACACCAATGATGGGGCACTATTCCTCCACTGATACCAATGATGGGGCACTATTCCTCCCACTGATACCAATGATGGGGGCACTATTCCTCCCACTGATACTTAGAATGGGGCATAATTCCTCCGACTGATACCAAGAATAGGAATTATTCCTCCAACTAATACCAATGATGGGGCACTATTCCTCCCACTCATACCAAGAATGGGGCATTATTCCTCCTACTGACACCAATGATGGGGCACTGTTCTTCCCCACTGATACCAATGATGGGGCACTAATCCTCCCACTGATACCAATGATGGGGGCACTATTCCTCCCACTGATACCAATGATGGGGCACTATTCCTCCACTGATACCAATGATGGGGCACTATTCCTCCCACTGACACCAATGATGGGGCACTATTTCCTCCCACTGACACCAATGATGGGGCACTATTCCTCCCACTGACACCAATGATGGGGCACTATTCCTCCCACTGACACCAATGATGGGGCACTATTCCTCCCACTGACACCAATGATGGGGCACTATTCCTCCCACTGACACCAATGATGGGGCACTATTCCTCCCACTGATACCAATGATGGGGCACTATTCCTCCCACTGATACCAATATTGGGGCACGATTCCTCCCACTGACACCAATGATGGGGCACTATTCCTCCCATTCATACTAAGAATAGGAATTATTCCTCCAACTAATACCAATGATGGGGCACTATTCCTCCCACTAATACCAAGAATGTGGACACTATTCCTCCCACAAATACCAATGATGGGGCACTATTCCTCCCACGGACACCAATGATGGGGCACTATTCCTCCCACTAATACCAAGAATGGGACACTATTCCTCCCACAAATACCAATGATGGGGCACTATTCCTCCCACGGACACCAATGATGGGACACTATTCCTCCCACTGATACCAATGATGGGGGTACTATTCCTCCCACTGATACCAATGATGGGACACTATTCCCCCACTGATACCAATGATGGGGCACTATTCCCCCCACTGATACCAATGATGGGGCACTATTCCTCCCACTGATACCAACAATCGGGCACTATTTCTCCCATTAGAACCATTAATTGTAAACTAAGGGGCGGAGTCACCTGGTGACACCATTGAACATATATGACGTCATAAGGGGGAGGGTCATAAGTGGCTTTTTAATAGCGGATTAAGGAGTTTACAGGCGACACCGCCTCTTAAAACTTTGCTTGAGGTTGCAGTGCTTACAATTGATTAAAAATTGCCATTCGGAAAAAAATAAAACAAGCATTCAGGAGTTGGCAGGATCCATTCCTGAAAACCCAATAGAGGCTGCTTAGCCACCATCTGAAAAGAGATCCACCACTGACCACGGTTCAGAGACTGAGCAAATGTGAACTTAGCCCAAAACCGTTGAAATGCAACTCATTTCTGTGGGGAACACACACGGAATTCTGGATAAAAAAGGAAATACTGTATAAAAAAAAAGGAAATATGCTACGACTCACCTGGTTTGACCTGTTTGTCTTGGTGCTCCAAGTGTTCGATGAGCTGCTCATTATATTTCTTTAGCATTGTATATATAAAGTGACCTTTCCCTGATTACTCCAGTATCTGACATATTTGAAGAGCTCTCTCATCTTCCTCCGAGAGGTGGGTTTTCTACGTATCTCAGCACATTGTTTCTGTGTCAGGAGACTCTGTTGTAGAAGATCATCTAACATGGGATCCACCACAGTCACCCCTCTTATAAGATCCGTAGAATGTTGTTTTATAAAGTTGACTTTTACTATAGGATAATCAAAATACAGAATTATAAATCTATCTTATAGCACAACTGCAACCTTTTTTTTTATTGTTTGCTTTGGATAGAACAGCAAAGGATTGGAGCCATACCTAGTAATAGTCATTTCAACAAGTCCATTCAGCTGGGCATGTTCTTTAACATCGAATATGTTTTGGCACTTATCTAGTTTTGCCTCGATAGTCGAGGTGTGACAATTTAATTCCCACAATGGACTGTAAAAAAATATGTTTGTGCAGGAGCATTGTCGTGGTGGAGAATCCACTTGCCAGGCCAGAGTTATGGTCTTTTCCTCCAAACAGATTCCCGTAACCTTTTCAGAATTTCCAAGTAACAATGTTGGTCGACCATTGTACTATGCTGTATGAACTTATAGTGAACTGTCCATTTGTGAGCATAAAAACCCACCAGGATGAGCATATGAGCGTTCGCACATTAGTCCTTTGCGTTTTTGACTGCTTGCTTCTTGTGTCATTGTGAACATCTTTCCGCCCCTCCTTAACCTCCCTGGCGGTATGATTCTTTCCGATTTTTGGTGCTGAAAGCGGTACCATTATTTTGCATGGAAATATGTAGTTTTTTTATTGTAGGCTGTAATATTTAGGAATAACTCACTGAAATCTGTCTGAACAAGAGTCTAGTAAACATCCCGGGGATGATAAAATTTTAAACACAAAATCATAAATTATAATTTAATAAATAATCATAAAAAATAATAATATAATATTAATACATTTAATTCAATAATATAATCAAACCAAAAACACTGAAATTTGAAATAGAGCGCCAAGTTCGCACATCGCTGAGCAAAGTCGCAGAATCGTTTTCAGTGTCTGATGATGAATTTCCCCACAAATCATTATCACTCAATTCTGCAAGTGGTTCTGATTTACTATCACTGTTCTCTAGCCGGTCTAAAACCGCGTCTGACCTAAAGGGACGCTTTTTGGACGCCATGGACGTTTCTCAGTTTCCAGGCAGAAAGAACAGACAAAATGCAGGCAGGGCGCCGGACAAAGCACTCGGGACAAAATGTATGTGAAATTGGTTGAGACAGCAATGTTTTACTATGTAAAAAAAAAAAAAATGAAATTTTTTAAAATTTTTAAATTTCCCGCCGCCGCCGGCGCCCGTACGTCCCGACGTCACAGGGACAGGACACAGAAGCCGGATGCCGGCATCGGCCGGAGGAGATGGCCGGGGACGCTGCAGGGGGACACATCGCGGGAGCGCAGGGTAAGGTAAGGGAAGAACAAATGCCGGAGCAGCGCCGCATGGTATTCCCGAGTGTAGCTCGGGGTTACCGCTTTTGGTACTGAAATGTTACCCCGAGCTACACTCGGGAATACCGCCAGGGAGGTTAAACTACCTATGTCATAGGTGTCAAACAGAAGGCCCGCGGGCCGAAACCGGCCCTCCAGGCCATTTCATGTGGTCCTTGTATCTCTCCTGCAGGTACCCCCTTGTCTCTGCCCACACCTTGTCTAAGCAGTCCGCAGAAGAGAGGAGAATAGAACAAATCTGCCAAATCCTCCTCATCCCCACACCCCCTCATCTCTGCCTCCCCTGGACTCAGCATTCAGCAGACTCTGGTAACTGACTCCACTTCTCTGGTCCTCCTTCAGACCCTGCACTTTCTGCTTTCCAGTTCTGCCCCCACAAAGGGGGTGCATGTTAGGTAAGGTGTGGGATTCTTGACATCTGATGTAATGGGGGGGGGGGGTGCTCTGGACATCTAGTCTTACAGATACAACTGGCCTTTTGAGGGCCACCATAATGCTGATACGGCCCGCCATGAAATGGAGTTTGATACCCCTGGCCAATGTCATTCATAAACATTAAATGTTTTCATGGACTGTTTACCATAAGCCTGTTGTAACAGAGTTAAAGTTTCACCAGCACTTCTGCCAACTTTCACACCAAATTTGATGTTAATCCGCTGCTCCAGATTCCTGTCCAGGGGCGGACTAACCATTAGAGCACTCGGGCACTGCCCAAGGGCCCAGGGTCAGTAGGGGGCCCAATGAAATGCCCCTGGTACCTCTTTATAGGATTTTTTGGTGTGCTTTGAGTGTGTTCAAGGACACAGGGGCCCCATGATCAACTATTTCCAAGGGGGCTCCATGAGTTGTCAGTCCTCCCCTGTTCCTGTCACTCCTTTTCAGCCAACAAAGTAATGCACATACATGTTATTTCTTCTTCTACTCCGTAAAGACTGAGTCAACTGGTCTGTGACCCAGGAGAGTGCAAGTTTGAACATGGCAAGATACACTCCAGTGCAAATGGCCATGTGACAATAGTGGTGCCGCCAGCATTCCGGGAATTAGATTGTCACACTTTCATTTTCTGCTTACAGTTTATGAGATTTTATTGATTCACAAGCAGGAAGAAGAAGGTCCTGATCCCTCTATATAGATTTTTATATCACTAGAGGGGTCACCGGCAGGAGGAAGGAGGTCCTGATCCCCTATATAGATCTTTATATCACTAGAAGGGTCACCGGCAGGAGGAAGGAGGTCCTGATCCCTCTATATAGATCTTTATATCATAGAGGGGTCACCGGCAGGAGAAGGAGTTCCTGATTTCCTCTAATTCCAGACTGTGGCCCAGGGGCCAGATGAAGGAGGTGCCTTTATCTGGCCCCTGGGGCCCTATTTTATGAAGAACAATGGGGCATAATATCAGTACAGTGGGGCACAGTTCCTCCCATTGACAGGACGATGGGGCACAATTACTTCCAGTGACACCAACAATGAGAAACAATTTCCCACTATACCAATGATGGGACACTATTACTGCCACTGACACCAATGATAGGGCATTGTTTACTCCCACTGGACACCAGGACTATAATTGTACTTGCCAGGGGCCATGTCCAACCCCCCTTTGCTTGCCCCTTTGCTTAGGCCCCTACAGATCTTTATATCACTAGGGCCCTATTTTATGAACTGACACCACAGGATGGAGGCTATATAATATCTGCTGCTGACACCAACAGTGGGGCACAGTTCCTCCCATTGATCATCATGATGGGGCACAATTACTTCCAGTGACACCACTAATGAGGAAACAATTCTCCCACTCTATATAGAACGATAACACTATTACTGGTCACCTGGCAGGACCACTGAGGGTTGATCCAACTATACAGATCTTTATATCACTAGAGGGATCACCAGCAAGAGGAAGGAGGTTCCTGATTCTATATAAATCATATCCACTAGATGGGACACCAGAGGATTTTGTAAGGAGGTCCCATCCAACCCCCCTAAGTTTATAGGACAGTCAAACTGCCCCATTGATCTTTATAAGAAAGTTTGAGGAAGAGACCCCTGCTCTATACAGATCTTTATATCACTAGAGGGGTCACCGGCAGGATGAAGGAGGTCCTGATTCCTCTATATAGATCTTTATCTCACTAGAGGGGTCACCGGCAGGAGGAAGGAGGTCCTGATTCCTCTATATAGATCTTTATATCACTAGAGGGGTCACGGCAGGAGGAAGGAGGTCCTGATTCCTCTATATAGATCTTTATCTCACTAGAGGGGTCACCGGCAGGAGGAAGGAGGTCCTGATTCCCCTATATATTTATATCACTAGAGGGGTCACCGAAAGGAGGTCCTGATTCCCCTATATAGATCTTTATATTCGAGAGGGATCACAGCAGAGGAAGAAGGTCCCGATTCCCCTACATAGATCTTTATATTCTAGAGGGATCACCGGCAGGAGAAAGGAGATCCTGATTCCTCTATATAGATCTTTATATCACTAGAGGGATCACCGGCAGGAGGAAGGAGGTCCTGATCAGTGGGCAACGGTGAGGCAAAAGACAATAGTCAGGTAAATCAGAGCATAGATCAGAAAGGCAATGTGTCTACTTCACATATGACCACATATTTGTGTTAAAACCTTTTATAATATTTCCAGTTGGAAGAATGGGCACATTCTAGGTAATGGTAAAGAAAACTTCTGATAAGGACAGGGGCGGACTGACAACTCATGGGGCCCCCGGGCAATAGGGGATCATGGAGCCCCTGTGTCCTGGCCCACACCCAAAAAAGCCTATGAAAAAGCCAATGAAAGGTACCAGGGGCATCTCATTGGGCCCCCTATTGACCCAGGGCCCTTGGGTAGTGCCCGAGTGCTTAAATGGTGAGTCCGCCCCTGGATAAGGATGTGTTGGTCGTAAAGCAGGCAAGACCACAGCGTTGTTAAAGGATAAGAATGAAGAAAGTATTTCCTCTCCTGTTCACACTGGCACTGTAAGGCCTCTTTCAAAATGGCGTCCAGGTTAGGGGCCAGTAAAAACATGAAGCGGAATTGTAATTTTACCCCCTACCTAAAACCAACCCTACAGCCAGAGGGAGCTCTACATACGCAGTGGCAAATGTATGGAGATTTGATGAGTAGACAGGTGGCACTGCCTGTCCAACTTGCCCACTCAAATCAATGAGGTTGCACCATATGTTTGGCTTGCAGTTGCAATGCATTAATTCGATCAAAAATTGCCATTCAGCATAAAAAAAAAAAAAAAAAAAAAAAAAAAAAAAATGAAAAGAAGAAAAAATAAATAATTCACAAGGAAGTAGGATAACCTCCTCAATGCCCAATAGCAGCTACTTGACCAACTTCTGAAAAGCAATCCTACTCCAATTGTGACCTAAAAGAGTTTAACTCATTTCTTTGGGGAACACACCGTGAGTTCTGGATTAAAACATACCATCTAAAAATGAAAAAAAATCGAACTCACTTTGTGACTGGTTGTCTTGCTCTGTGGATTCCATGAGCCGCTTATTATGTTTCCTTAGTAATCTATATATAACAAACTTGTTATAA